CTCGGCCTGCCGCCGCGCCGTCTGCGCGGCGGACGCCCCGTCCGCCGACGCGCGGCCTGCCCCGCGGCCTCTCCCCAACCGGAGGTGGGCTGGGCGGCGGCGGCGGCGGCGGCGGGGGCAGCGCAGCTGCGGGGCGGGAGGGGCAGGAGGAGGGGCGAGGAGCACGACGAGGGGGACGAGGACGAGAAGCACGACGAGGAGCACGAGGAGGAGGACCAGGAGCACGAGGAGGAGGGGCACACGTGGAGGAGGACGAGGAGCATAGAGAGGAGGGGGTGGAGGAACAGGAGGGCGAAAGCGAGGGGAGCACCAGGGGGGGACGAACGTGGGGGGGGGGATGGGCACGGGGGAGGGAGGCGGCTGCAAGGAGGGCGGAAGTTGATGCAATGCAGGCGTGGACGACGAGCCGAGCTCTTCATGAGGGCAGGGGAGGGAAAGGGGGAGAGGCGGGGAAGGGGTCGGCGACGAGGAGGGACGACGATGGGATGACAAAGGGACGAGGAGGAACTGCACCCTGGGGTGAGGACGGGCGGGACGAGAAGGGGGGAGGAGGGAGCAGGACTGCGAGATGAGGGAGAACGCTGGAGGAATTGGAAGGATAGCCTGGCAAGAGATTTAGGAGTGAGGAACAAGAGTAGCAACTGGAGGGAGAGGATGCGGAGGGAGTAGGAGCAGGCATCGGAAGGACCTCGGACTGAGCAGGAAACTGAAGACCGCCGTCATCTGCGATAGCAGAAGGAAGGACATGTATGCAAAGTCTGGAGATAATAGCATCAAGAAGGACATGTTCGCAAGCTTGTCTGGCGACGGGGCGCTCCTGACGGTCCCCCCCCGGCGAAAGCGACGGCGAGGCGGCTTGCCGCATCATTGTCGGAAAAGGGGCGCCGACGCCATTAAAAGCAGGCAGGGCAGGTTCGCCGCAAGCCTGGAAACACCACCGAACCGGGGAGGGTCACCAGGGGAGAGATCGTCATGCACAAGATCGGCGTGAGGACGAGCATCTGGAACACGAACACCATCCTCGCAAGCACGACCACTAGCGGCCATCGTCGTACCACCACACCGTAGGGCTCACCGACAGCCGCGGCGTGCAGAGGAGTGGGGTTCGACACCTGCGTATTCGTCGCCCGCTCTTGGCGGCTGGCAGCGTCGTCTGCTGCTTAGCGACGGAGCGCCCTCCGCCTGGTTGAGACGCCTGCCGACGTTTGCGGGTTGCTGCGCAAGGTGGCAACGATGAAGGGCAGGCATGACTTCACGGACTGAGCGACCCCGACATATGCGGGAGCGAGATGGCTCGGCTTGCACTGCTATGGGCAATCGAAAATGTCAATCATGTAAATTCACATGGACTTTCTTGCTGCCTTCCACAACATTATTGAAGGGGCCCTGGGACACACAAATAAATACACACAGGTTACAGGGTTCCCCGTGTGTTCTTATATTTTCTAAGTTTCTGTCTCCCCCCTCCCCATAGTTTCCCCATGCTTTCTGAGGAATCGACGGTTAAGTGTGTCAATGAGTTGGTTCCCCTCCTTACACATCGGTCGGAAGAAGTACGAAAAAACATGAAGTAGGAAGGCGGATTCAGTTGATTGGTCCCAGGCCCCCCTTCAGGGAATAACAAAACACAGCAAAAGCGTGTCGATTCTTGCAGTAGGAAAGCGCTTGAAGTGGATCGGGACCTGCTCCTGCTCCACGACCGGCGTGTAACCATGCCAGGACCACTGCGCAGGCCCACAGTCCGCCTGCGGCCCTCGGCCCGTTCGGATAAATGGCACCTGACATGCTGTTGGTAGCGACGGCTATGGACAGTACGAGGTCGGGCCTGTCCCCCTACAAGGGGGGGTCTTGGACGAAAAATAGGAAATACACAAGCAGTGCTCCAAAGATGAAACAAAAAACTCAAACAAAGTACCTATACTTAGTGGTCGAGCCTGTCCCCCTACATGGGGGATCTCGGACGCAACATAAAAAAGTGCCGCCAACATGCCCAACGGATGCCCAAACATACTCAAGACAAGTCCCATAGACTGCTTGTTGACTGTTTTTGGAAATCCCCCCCGTAGAGGACAGGCCCGACTTGAGGATAGTACGATCCTGTACTGAGGCCAGCGCCACTCGCCAGACTCTGGTCGTCGGGTGCCGCCCCTTCCCTTCTCCCGCGATCTCTCACATGGCTATTTCGCGCGCCTGGGGCATGCAGACGTACTCCACCAGCCCGCTGCGATTCGGCAGCGGGGCCCTCTGGCAAACTACGTCACCATCTACCACGGGTAGTGTGCAAGCTAGGGCGCCGCATCAGCAGAAATGTGCATCCAGCGTAGGTTTTGGCAAGCCCACGACGCAAAATATCGCAACGAGTAGCGACGACATATGTGGAACACAATGTGCATGATCGTAAAATCACCACCAGCAGGTGCACCACCACCGTGAATTGAAACAGCTCAGGAAGCGACAGCGTGCAAAAGGGCATCCCGAGGAAGATCGCGAATGTCGGGCGCGCCGCCAACGGCAGGCTTCACCATGGGCAAAACACCCACGAGCAGCGACGGCGCCAGCACAAACACCTCGTGCAGGAACACCACCGCCGATAGCATTACCAATAGCGACGGGCGGAAGGCCATCATGCCGAACATGGGAACTGCCAGCGGGGACATGCCCTGGGAAATCTTCAGGAGAACTGTCCCATGTGAGAACATCACCAGCGGCGGCTTGCAGAATGCCACCGTGCAGAATGTAACCGCGCTCGATGGCGGCGGGCAGACAGGACATCTTGTCTCGTCGGATATAAATACTCGCCACGAACAGACTGCGGCAAATCACCACGCCGGCAACAGTGGCACGTAGCGGGTCGGTCTGAAGGGGGATTACCACCACCTCGAATGCCACCAGCAGCGGCGTGTTGAAGATCATCACGCAGGAGAGCATTACCAGCTAGAACTGCACCAGCCGCGGCTTACGCTAGGTCACACTGCAGAAGTTCACCGCGGGTAGCGGAAGGTGCCGAAGGGCAACGCCGCCGCTGCTGGTGATGAACCGCCAACGGGGTCAGCGCCATCGATGGGCTGCGCTGCCAATGAAACAAATCCTCACGATGAGCATCGGCATGCAGAAGAACACGTTACATCGCCATCATCGAGGGCGTCAACAATGGCGTCCTGCACAGGATCGTGTTGGGCAGCGCGGCGAACAACGGCGGCACGGAGACGCCCCTTCAGCGACTCTCCACGCTCTCGGCGGAGACGCTGGATTTCATGAAGCAGCGGTCCTCTGGATTGCCGCACCCCTGCAACACTCGAGGGCGCGCGAAACACGAACGAACGACCATCCGTGCGGACAGCAGTCCGGGCCTACTGTAGACCAGATAAAGGAGGCCGTGGCCTCTGAAATACCATTGTGTATGGACATGCGTGCATGCGAGACATAAAACTTTTTGTAAAACGGAAAGGGCAGGGAGGAGGGGGAGGAATCCTTGTAGTCGATGTCGCGGTGTGGTGGTGCCGCGTCGTTGGGTGGAGTCTGTGTTGGTCGTCTGTGCTGGGTTTGGTGTTGATGCTGGCGGAAGGCGCCGGTAGTCGGTGTGGCGGTGCTTAGTTGTTGGTGGTCGGTGCTTGTGGTCGCGTGGTCGGCCGTCAGTGCTGCATATAAAAACTCGTAATATCATGCAGCGGCGAAGGCTCTCTCGAGTGACTTTCACCATGTCGCCCGTGTCGCAGCTGTGATCCACCTCACATCGTTGGTGTCGCGGTGGAAGCATCGTCGCGGTTGGGTGGCGTCGTTGGCGTCGCGTTGTGTGTTATCTTCGCCTGCCTGTCGATGCACGATGTGTAGAAACTTCCACATATCGTCGTCCCATCGCCTGTGCTGGCCACCGTGTTGTCGATAACCCTGTTGCTTTGTGTCCGTGTTTGGGTTCCAGTTCAGAACTCGCTGTGTCCACCTGTTCGATGGGTGGGTCGCTACGCGTGCTGCCCACTGCCAAACCATTTTGCGATGCATTTGGGTGACGTCTGAGATGTCGCGCATGCTCATTAGCTCCTCCGCTCTGCGGGTGCACCGGCGGATTTAGTCGGACCAGAGTTCGACATTGTCTGCCACCTGCTGGCGTGTCGGAGTCGGGTGGGGTGGGTCGATGCTGTAGTCACTTGTTTGGGGTGGGTCTGATGGAGTCGGCGGGTCGCGGGAGGGTCGTGGTCGCTGGAGTCGTCGGAAGCGTTGCCGTCGAAATCATCGTAATCAGATTTGCCTGTCGCTGGGGCAGCAGGCGTTGGTGAAGCTGCTGACGTGTGCCGCCGCGGTGTCCCGATCATCGCTCTGATCATCCGCCGTTGCGTGCGACGCAGCTGCTGTTTGGGGGCCTCTGTCATTGCCCATGACTCTGCGCCGTATATCATTGTGGGTATGACGGTGCCACGGTATAGTCGTAGTCTGTGCTTGAGTGGGTAGTGCTTGCGCGTTAGTTCTTATATGTGCCCTGTGAAGCACGCCCATGCAACTTGAATGCGATGCTGGAACTCGGTCGTCGATGCATCTTGGAATCATATGGTCTGGCCGAGATACTTCAACTTCCCGATTTCAACGTCCATGGTTGCAACTCTTGCCGATCGTGTTCGGGTTCCAGTCCGGTTTGTCATGATATTTGCTTTGGTCGGGTGAATTTCAAGTCCGTGAGGAGCTGGTGCCTGGATTAAGTCCCCAAGCAGTGTCTTCAAATGTGGTAGTGTCTGATTGACCAGGAAGATGCCGTCGGCGGAGCGGAGATTGGTAAAAACATATTCGTTGGTGCGTGCTGGTTGTACTCCTCGTCGTCGTCGCTGCCAATCCGGAATGAGAGGTTCCAGGGTGTGCTGTAATAGAGTTTTAAAGAGCAGTGAGCTCAAAGGGTCTCCTTTTTTCGTGCCTCGTCTGAGCTTGAAAGAATTGCTGGTGGAGTCGGTGCGGACAAAAGCCTTCTGGTCGTGGTAGAGACGCTGGAGCAGGTGGACGTACTCGGGTTGCACGCCTTGTCGTCGCAGTGCTGTCCATAGGCTGCTGTGTTCTACTGTGTCAAACGCTTCCTTAAAGTCTACGGCAGCAATCTACAGGGTCTGACTCCATTCGGAAGCTTGTTCGCTCAGGATGTTGAAAGTGAAGAGGTGGTCTCGCGTGCCGCGACCAGGTCTAAACCCCGCTTGGTCGTCGGGCTGGCATTGTTCAAGGACTGGCTGTAATCTGCTGTAGAGCAAACGACTGACTAGCTGGTATAGAATGGGTATGGTGCAGATCGGGCGGCAAATCTGTGGAAGAGAGAGGTCGCCCGATTTGGGAATGACTGTGATCAGTGTTTTCCTCCAGCTTGCTGGCGTCGGGGCGTTCGGGTTGAGGACGGCGTCGGGGCGCCGGCGCGCGAAACACGAAGCAGTGGTTGAAGGTGGAGCCGCCGCCGAGGAAGGTGCCGGAACTGGTGCGCTCGGCAGCGTCGGGGGTGGCGGGCTGCACCTCAGCGCGCTGTGTGGCACGACGGCGGCAAGGGGCAGCGTCCTCCGGGGCTGCCCAGCGCGCCGCCAACACTGCAGGTTGCACGGACGGGCCAGCAGCCGACGGTGGCGCGGGGCGCGCAGGCAATCGAGCGGGGAACGCCATCGGCGCAAAACTGGCACGGCTGGGCCCCACGGAAGGTGGACGGCCCAGCATGGCTGCGGAAGGGGTGAGGAGGGAGGGCGGTCGGGGGCGAGGGCGAGACGGGAAGGAGCACGGCGAGAAGGACGGAGAGGGGAAAGGCAAACGAGAGGGGAACTCCAAACGAAAAAAGGGCGAACGCAGGCGGCCACGACCAACAAGAGAAACCAATCATCCGACCTCGACAACGACATCCACGGCGGCGGCAGGCATGCGGACAGTCCTGCACTGCAGAACTGGTACAGAGAGGGCAGAGGATGAAAAGGATGAGGAGAAAGAGGAGAAAGAGGAGACAGAGGAGAAAGAGAGGACAGAGGCGGAGGAGGGAGAGACCGCGGACAAGGCGGAGCTTAGGAATATCTCATCACAAGCCGGGGACGGTACGAATTAGCCCCAGCCGCTGCAATGTTCTCGCGGCCTCGGTGCGAAAGTGTGCCCTCCACACAAGCGCGCCCACGTCCATATGCTGGCGACCAGGCAATCAAACAGGGCCTCCGAACGCGGGGGCTCGTACCGCAGCGCCGTCGGCGACGGCCCTGTCAATCAATGGACCACCCCGACGGACACTGGGCACATCGTGGTTTTGATCGTCCAGCGACACCCCGACGCTGGCAAGTCAAGAGCTGAGGAAGCGAGAAGAAGCGGAGGAGCCCGCCAGCTCAGCCGATACCCTGCCGTCGAGAGCGTGTCTCCTGCAGCAAAAAACCGAATCGGCCACCACGACGTGATCAGCAGTGCCGATGTCGACGTGCAGCAAACTCCCGAGCCCTGCCCAGCCTCCGCTCACCTGTCCGCGCGCCCCGCGACAAGGCAAGCCCCCCCCGCAGCGCCGTGCTCTTGGAACGGCGGTGGCACCTTGCCGTCGGCTTCGGTCAGGGGGCCATCGCTGCTGCGGGGGAGGGGAGCATTGCAGCAGATATCCAGTAGACTGGTGGTTCACTGTTCATCTTCCTCGTGCCTCCTCCCCCATTCTCCTGTTTCCTCCTCATCGTCCTTCCCGTCGGCCTCCCTCTCACGTTTCGTCCTCACCCTTCTCATCCGACTCCACCCCACCCCCTGCCACTCCCAATCCGCCATACGTGTGTCGGGCCGGGCGAAAGGGGGGGATAACAAAGGGAGGATTTGAGAATCAGCTCGCGTATCTGATTTTCCCGGCGCCTCCCGGCGCCGGGAGGCGCCCATGTGTCGAGGAATGAACCCGGCGGCGGGGCCGAAACCAGCTGCATGTAGCAGATTTCGTGACCCACCCCGTTCCCTATCCGTAAGTCGGGCGTGTCCCCCTGCAGGGGGATTTGGGGCGAAAAATGAAAAATAATCAAAACAAATACCCCAAAAGTATTTGGAAACAAATCATCTCAAGACTATGTTTTAACTATTTTTGGATATCCCCCCTGTAGAGGGACACGCCCGACTTAACACTATCCCCCCTTTCGTTCGGCCCGAGTGCCGAGAGGGGAGAAGGCGTGGGCACCAGAGGACCCTGCCGCGGGAGGCAGGCGCTGGAGACGCGCTCCCCGTGCCGATGGGGCCGTTGGGGCGCGGAGGCGCGCCCGCGGGCGTGGGGCCGGCGACGGGTGCGACGGACCCCCGCTGATGGGACCTGGACGCGGAGAAGGCGGGAAGGAGGCATCTACTGGGAGGTTTTCGTCGGAGAGGTTAAGGAGGATTGAACCCCATTCGGGGGCTATTACGCTGGAGTGGGCCTCGGATTAAGCGGGATTAAGCGGGATTGCGCGGGATTCAGCGGTATTAAGCGGGATTAAGCCGGACTTCGGACCAGTGCAAAATCAGAATTTGACCTCCCAGGAGTTGCATCCCAAAAGGAGGGAGGGGGAGCTCTCTCTTCCTGCAACCACAGCCTCCAGGGGCCAGGCAGTCACGGCCAAACCGCACAGAGGCTCCAGGTGCCGAGGAGCAAGCAACGCCGGCCGACACCTGCCGCTCTGGCTCTTCCTTGGCCTCCGGAGGGTCACGCCTCTGTGGGGGCACCCACGAGCCGAAACCATCCGCGAGAGCGAGGCCCGAGACGGGGGGCCGCCGTGTTTCCACCGACGCTCAGAAGTGAGGGCCCTCCTCCTCCTCCTCCTCCTCCTCCTCCTCCTCCTCCTCCTCTTCCTCCTCCTCCTCTCCTCCTCCTCCTCCTCCTCCTCCCTCCTCCTCCTCCTCCTCCTCCTCCTCCTCCCACCTCCCTCCTCCTCCCTCCCCCCCTCCTCCTCCCCTCCTCCTCCTCCTCCTCCTCCTCCTCCTCTCTTCCTCCTCCTCCTCCTCCTCCTCCTCCTCCTCCTCTCTCCTCCTCCTCCTCCTCCTCCCCTCCTCCTCCTCCTCCTCCTCACTCCTCCTCCTCCTCCTCCTCCTCCTCCTCCTCCTCCTCCTCCTCCTCCTCCTCCTCCTCCTCCTCCTCCTCCTCCTCCTCCTCCCTCCTCCCTCCTCCTCCTCCCTCCTCCTCCTCCCTCCCTCCTCCTCCTCTCCTCCTCCCCTCCCTCCTCCCTCCTCCCTCCTCCCTCCTCCCTCCTCCCTCCCTCCTCCCTCCTCCCTCCCTCCTCCCTCCTCCCTCCTCCCTCCTCCTCCTCCTCCTCCTCCTCCTCCTCCTCCTCCTCCTCCTCCTCCTCCTCCTCCTCCTCCTCCTCCTCCTCCTTCTACTCCTCGTCCTCACTCCTCCTCCTCCTCCTCCTCCTCCTCCTCCTCCACCTCCTCCTCCTCCTCCTCCCTCCTCCCTCCTCCCTCCGCTGCACTCTCGGGTCGCAATTCTGGGCCCCAGGCGGCGGTTTTGGTCGGTTCTGGGCTGCCCGGAAGGACCTCGACGAGGCGCGACAGATGGAGAACGCAACGGGGGGCAACAACAGTAAGCCCCCCCCCCCCACAAGAAAAACGTCGACCGTACCATTCGGACATCACGGCGTGTTTGTGACCTGGGTCCAGGGACCTCTCGACCCCATCCCATGGGCAAGCCTTCCAACCGATGGGAAATGGACTCCATGATGCCTGGGTTCCACGAAATTCAAACTTAGAGTGCAAAGAAATGGCGGAAGTGTCGGCTGGCCACGCAAGGCATCAAGAGAAATATGAATTTAGATCACCGGATCCGACAGCTCCGAGAGCAGCTACTGGAAGAGATGATGGATAAGCTCAGTCGAGCGTCCAGGGCACCTGGGCCCTTGCTGCGTGCCCTGAGGGATGGGCACGAGGATGTCGAGTGTACTTGTCGAAACCCCAGCCTCTCATTGTTGGATGCTTTCGACGCGGACGAGATGTTTGATGGCCTGGGTCCCTGTGTAAGCTTTGCCCCATACAGTGTGGTATGTATGGTTGGTCTTGTAACTCGTTGGGTCATGAAAGATCCCCACGGCATCCCTCAAGAACTGGGTGGATACCCAGCTGCCGCAAACAACGCGATCTTCGGAGCGCGCAAGTAGGCAGGGTACCCTGCGCTTTCCTACTACCTGGGATGGAAGCCTGTGTCGTTGACAATGCATGTATCGGAGGCATTAATGCTACTGCGTATGTTTGGAATCGCAAGCTGTCCAAGCGGGCGACAAGTTGATGGCCCGTGAACGTCGGATGGCCTGACACGGTTGATGCAGTTAAGGGTAAGACCCACGCTACTCCACCGTCGTATGTCCTCTCATGTCAAGACTGGCCACTCCGACGCGAGGGCCGATCCTGGAGCATACAGCACGGGAGCAAGCTGCTCCTGAAATATCCCGGATGTGCGTCTTTGACGCTGTTCGGATGAGTCCGGGACGAGGCCCGGGACGAACCTACAGAGAAGCGGCGTCGTCCGATACAGAAACGGAGGCGCCTGGTCAGTGCAGACGGACAGGCGAGCTACAACATCGAGACTATAGAGACAGAAGAACTGCTGGGAGCGGCTGCCAATGGAGGCAAACCCTCCTCCATCGTCCCGCCCCCCGATGTCGCTACCGCCACCGCTGCAACAGGGGGAACCGCAGCGCCCCGAGCAATTTTATGGGGGGGCTGCGGCTCGTTATTCAGGGGAGTGGGGGGCGTCGGGTTTTTTGTTTTCGTGGCGTGCGGCGGGGGAGGTCACCACCGCCGATGTCGCCACCGCCGAACATATCGTGGCGCCCGATGTCGCCACCGCCGAGCATATCGTGGCGGGCACCCTGATCTGCAACAGGTGCGGCTGAGACTCAGAAGGCCTTCGCACTATAAAGAAGTCAAAATATGCAGAGCGGCTTTGCCCTCCCCTCGCAGCCACTCCACCTGGAACCGCTGATGTGAGGACAGACGCTCCGACCGCAACACAGGGTTGACCAAGGTGCTCTCCGAACTGCCTCCAGCGAATGATTTTCGTGCCAGCCTGGTGCTCCACCCATGGAGCCGAGGAGACTGGAGAGGAGGGTGTGGCCAGGAGCTGACCGCCTAAGCACCGCGAGCGACAGCACCGAGCATCTGACCACCCCTCGCGCTCGGCATCCTGGTGCTTAACCGAAGGGATGCTCCCTCCCTCCCCTGCCCGCTCCGTCTCCCCTCGCCCCTCCGTCCTCCGCCTCCGTCCTCCATCCTCCGTCATCCGCCTCCCCCCTTCCTTCTCTCGCTCCGTCCTCCGTCCTCCTCTGCCCCCGCCGTAGCCAACGGCCGCGGCGGCGTCGACAGCGCTCGGGCGGTGCCTACGCGACGCTGCCGTCCTCTCGTCAGCCAGACGCGCGTTGGCCTCCTGGGCATCGTCGGCACGGGCATAGTCGTCGTCGGCGTCGTCATCGTCGTCGTCGTCGACGGTGTCGACGTCGTGATCTTTACGTTCCGAAAGTCGACGTCAATGGACCTCCCTCATCCGAGGCCTCCCCGGCAGCGCCCATCCCCCCCCCATCCTCCCACCCCAGGTGGACGAGCTCTCCAAGGGGGGGGGGAGAAGGAGGGATGCAGAGGCGAAGAAGGAAGAGGAGGCCAGAGGAGGAGGGAGGAAGATAGCGAGGGCACACTGAAATTGTCAGGAGGACTCCTCGCCCTGTTCTTTCTCATGCTGCGCCCCGCCCCGCCATTTCCATTCCCCACCCGCCCATCCTTCTTCGCAGGGAGAGTGGCTCCTCCAGGTGTAGGGGAAAGGAGAGGTCGGAGGAGGAGGGAGGGGGGATCGAGGAAAGAAAACTTTGAAGACGTATTGGGAGGAAGGTTCTGTGGGGTTCCGCGAGGGCCCACCATCCTTCCGACTTCATCGTCCTTCTGCTCCCCCTATCTTCCTCCCCCGGCCTCCTCCACCTTCTGCGGCTCCGTTTTTTTGTTGTTGTGTTCCCCCCTCCTCCCAAGAGGATGGCCTCCTCCTGAGAGGAAGGAGGAATAACTATGAAGGAGGAATGGAGGAGGCAGAGAGACGGAGCAGGAGGAGGAGGAGTTTTGGGTTTGTATTCGGCGGTTCTAACAGGTTCACGAATACCCTTTAATGTTTCCAGATGCTCCCAGAGGCCTTCCCAAGAGGAGGTCGTCCGCCTGGAGGGAAGGTGTCGGAGGAGAAAGGATGAGGGAGCGCCTCAGGACGCGTTGAGGCACCTTGGGGGCTCAGGTGATTAACTTGATTCTGGAGGGCTGCCCTCCTTTCGTCCTCCCCCACCCTTGCTATTTGCGCATGGAGAATAAAGGAGAGGGGCCGTAGAAAGGACGAATGAGGGAGGGAGAGGACATCATTATGCTGTTGTGCGGCCTCTTCCCTCACCCTTCTCTGATCGCCCCCTAGCATCGTTGCCGACATATCCCATAGATTGACCTTGCTGAGGTCGATGGCGCATTTCTTCAGACGCAGCGTCGCCTGCTTCGCTCGTCCGTGGAACACGTGTGGTGCGTTACCGCCGATGCGGGAAAAAGAGAACCTCCGCGCTCTCGCGCGCAAGGAGGGGGACCCTTCCGCGAGCCGAAAGAGGCCACAGGCGCAGACAGATCGGGGTGAGGTGGACTAACGTCCTCCTGTCCCTGTTTGGATTCCAGGCTCGACAGTCATGATCACACGCTTCGTCCTCCTCCCCCTTCCCCGGATGTCCCTCATGTGATCCTCCCCATCCTCCTCCTGCTCCTCCTCCTCGCTCTCGCTATCCTCTGCCGCTACCGTCTGTCGCCCTTGTCGGCCCTCTTCTTCCACCAGCAGGAAAGCCCAGACAAGTCACGTAGTGAATGGGCGACCACCTACAAGGTCGCAAACGGCAGAATACGGCCCGACGGCGGGAGATGTGCGCGACCAACCGAGACCCACGGAGCCGAAACGGGCGGAAGGAAACACAACCCATCTGCTGCAAGGACACCATCCCCCAACACAAACATCTGCCCAAGCAAGTTCGGCTCTAGCGCGAAGGGATGCCCCACCACAGCACCTGTCGCGGTTGTATGCACAACACGTCCGGATTTCGTTCACCACTACTCCTCCTCAATCCCCCTCATCCTCTCTTCTTCCTCCTCTTCCCGCCCCTTATATTTGGAATGGTGCGCCGTCAGGAATGGTGTGTCCGAAAATCTGCGATTCAACGCCCACGCCTCTTGGGCAAGGCCGGGTAGTGACCCGCCATCTTATAAACAAGCATTTGCGAATTGTCGGTCCTCCATTGTCGTTGATATCCTGGGACTCTAGACCCTCCTCCTCCTCCCTCTCCTCCTCGCTCCCATGTTGTGTGTCCTCCTGCTCCTTCTCGGGACAGCACATCCGAACTTCTGCGCCTAAGCGTTCAAGCGCCGCGTGAAAGAGGCACGACCCTCTTACAATGATGTCGTCATCCTCCTCTTCTTCCTCCGCCTCCTCTTCATCCTGATCAACATCAGCACCACCACCACCACTACCATCATCATCGTCATCCCCAAACATCGTTATCATCACTACCATCATCCATTTTTCTTCGTGATCACCAGAATCAGCAAAAGCATCACCATCAGCATCATCAGCACCACCATCACCATCACCATCACCATCACCATCACCATCACCATCACCATCACAATCATCATCATCATCATCATCATCATCATCATCATCATCATCATCATCATCATCATGATCATCATCATCATCATCATCACCATACTCATCATAATCATCATCATCACCATAATCATCATCGCCACCATCATCATCACCACCACTAGCACCACTACCACCGTCGCCATCATCATTACCACCATCATCATCATCAACATCAAGATAGCACGAGTATCAGCATCGGCATCTGCATCAGCATCAGCAGCATCAGCATCATCACCATAACCATCCTCCTCCTCCTCTTCATCATCATCAACATCATCATCCGCCCTCCTCCTGACAAACGGCATAGTACTCGTTATCCTCATTTCTGTGTCTGGCCTCCTCGTCCTCCCCATCCTCCTCCTCCTCCTGCTCGTTGTCCTACTCCACCTCATCATCCATCCCTCTTCTTGATAATGAACTTTTCCCTGTCGCACTCTGCGGTTGTTTCGGTTGGGCGGGCCAAGCGTTCCACTCGAGATCCCCACACCAAGTATGATATTGAAACATGACTGTTGTAACACTTTCACGAATGGAGAGCGGGTGATTTTCAACATGTTGGTCTCGACTTAGCGCCGCGTGCACTCGTCTGAAATCCTTGCAGCAGTTTCACGGATGGGGGGCGGGTGGTGTTTGAACAGTGGCTCTCGCCTTAGCGCAGCGCACACTTGGCTGAAACATGCAACAATTGCACGGATGAAGACGGATTTCAACACGTGGCCCACGCCTCAACGCCGCGCGCATTCGTTTGCCACGATTGTAGCAGTTGAAGGATGAAAGAAGGTTCCATTTCAAACTGTGGCTCTCGCCTTCGCGCCGCGCACATTGGCCTTGAAAGTTCGCAACGGCTTCACGGGGTTCTATGTTTGAAGTCTCAGGCAGGGTGTTCCGACACGGCTTAGGATTGTCACGCCGCAACAGTCAACTTCATTCGCGGTCTTGAAGTCTCAGGAAGGATGCTCTGGCACGATTTAGCGTTGTGAGGAAACAACGAGAAAGTTGATTCGCGGCGCTGAAATCCCTGGAGTGATGTGTTGGCACGATTGAGGGTTATCAGACGGTAGTCCTCCAAAGGGGCGCTTCCGACGATGCAAACAAATTCTTCCAGGAATCTGTGAAGAGGAAACTTGGAGGGAGGTTTACTGCAACATCGTCGATGCGCCTTGGGTTTGCACTGGTCCTCCACCTCATCCTCCTGCTCCTCCTCCTCCTCCTCCTCCTCCTCCTCCTCCTCCTCTTACTCCTCCTCCTGTTCCTCCTCCTCCTTCTCCTCCTCCTCTTCCTCCTCCTCCTCCTCCTCTCTAACGGGGTGGACTCGCTCCTCGAGGCTCCGCCGCACCTGCGCGAGGTCGTCGCGCTGCGCCGCAGCCCTGTCCTGGACCTGCACGGGCGGCGCAGGGACGACCGAAGTGGGCGCCATGCGGGCGGCCGGCGGCGGGCTGCCGCCGCTGCTGCCGCGACTCGCCCTCCTCGTGAACTTGTCGCCCTCTTCGTGGTCGTCGTCCTCCTTGCGGGCGTAGTCGCCGCCTCCTCCCTCCACCTCGTCCCCCGTCCTCATCCTTCGCCCCTCATACTCCACATCCTCCCCGTCTCCTACCAAATCCTCTCCACATCATCTTCACCTTCCTCCTTCGTGTCCTTCTCCTCCTCGCCTTCATCGTCTTCATCATGATCCGATTCCTCCTCCTGCTCTCCCCCTTGCGTCTCCCCGCCTCCATCTTTCTCCCCATCCTTCTCAAAATTCCTCCCTCAGAGAACATGTCAGATCTTCCCATCCACACGCATTTACTCTCACGGGGCGCGCCGATGGATTGCAGTCGGCGGATACCGCCACAGAGCGGCGGCCTTCGCTCAAACTGCACCAAAGGCTGGCTACGCTCATACTGAATTGACCCTTCCGCTGGAAATCACAAACACAAGCACAAACACAAACACACACACACACTAAAACTCTTGGGGCATCCAGGTGCACCCCTCCTCCGCCCCTTCTTTCCCTCCTCCTATCGCTATCGCTATCGGCTCGATGTCCTGTCGGACGCAGCCGTCCGCGCGGCCGGGGCTACACGCGCGCGCCCGAAGCGCGTAGGGGGGGCCACCCCCCGACACAGACCCCCGACACAGACCCCCGACACAGACCCCCGCCAGGATCTGCTCCTCCTTCGGGGGGGCTCCCGGAGAGGCCGCATGGGGGTGGCAAGATGGAGCAGGAGGACTTTCCCTCCTCCTCCTCCTCCTCCTCCTCCGGCTGCTCCTCGCTGGGCGGGCACACGGGCCGGGCCCGACGCCGGGTGGCCGCAGGCCAACCCACGGGGCGGCACTGTGGCCACCGGCTGCAGCGACGACTGCTGCTTCGGCCCAGCTTTCTCGCTGCTGCTGGCTTCGCCACGGAAGGGGACAGTGTTCGGCCCCGACCGATGCCTATGCGACTCGCCGATCAAGGGCCACGTGTTCCGCCGTGGCCTGATCTTTGTAAGAACACGCTGACTTCGGCATTGCCGTACGTAGATCGTGCTCGGCCTCAGCCTTGACTCCCGCCTCCACGGATGCCCCTCCGACTCTTGACGCTACGAAGGCCACCATCATTGCGGCTGCCAGGACCACCACCCTTGAGGCCAACACTGCTCGTCACACTCTTGAATCTGCCGACGCCGGGTCACCGCGCGGTCCGTCACCGCACAGCCTTGGGACCCTGGAGGCCCCAATCGTCCGAGACGTCTTCGGAGAGCGATCTGAGTCCCAATGCCGTGCCGGGACCCCGAGTCAGTGGGGACTCGGGCCGAGTCCCCACTGACTCACCATACGAGGTTGTCACCGAAGACGCAGCCCACTAGCAAGGTGGAGAGCTCCGCAGGCCTGGGCATCGGTCCCGCCGTGAGCAGCTCGGCACGTGGCTCAACTAGAATGGAACATCGGGCCGCCTGCCGAAGGCGGCGCCAGCCAGCTAGAAAATGTCGTGACACCAGACTGACCGCCTCACTACTCCTGAGCGTCCTGTTGCTCGACCTGCTCCTTCAGGGCACCGCGGGGGGCTTCCAAGAGGCTGGGAGGGGGTGGAGGATCGACTGGGCACTCCATTGAAGGATCCATGGCCCATTGACGGGCCACCTCTCGGCAGGGTGTATCAAACAAGGCACACAGCGCGAGAACCACCCGCAAGCTCATACCCCCGACAACCTTGCAACGAACGTCCCACCCGCCAGTGGGAGAAACGGCAGTCCGAACCCGTCCGGGAAAAACAGCCGTCTGGAATCAGAGGCCTGGCCAACCTCTGCCGATGCCGCCATCCCGCGGAGCAGGCGCCAGAGCACCCCATCGGAACGAGCACGCGCGCAGCCTAGCCCTGGAAGACAAACTGCGAGCGGCGGGCGCGAACAGCGCACACAACGCGAGAGCCCCCTTATGTTGCATCCTCGGGGGACCTTGTCTGTTCCGTCGCGGCCCTATCCGCGTCGAATCCGTGTCGAATCCATGTCAACCTCGTCGGACCCGCGTCGAATCCGTGCCGAACCCATGTCGAGTCCACGCCACATCCGCGCCGAGTCCGCCTCGAGCCCGCGTCGGGCACGAGAAAAAGACACCGACTTGGGGGACAGGCGAGGTCCCCCGAAGATGCAACGCAACTATGCGCGGCCAATGGAGGCGCAAGCCCCAGCCGAACAGATCGAACAAACATGATAACCCGAGCAATCCCGTCACGAAGCATCCACCGAAAGGCATCTGGGAACGCGCATAGCCCCTGGGAAACCACCACATTCAATATACACCACGCCGCAACTGCCGATATGAATTAGGAGGACACTACTGGGAGGTTTTCGTCGGAAAGGTTCAAGGAGATTGAGCCCCATTTGGGCGCTAATACGACGGGGAGGGCCTCGGATTAAGCGCGAGTAAGTCGGATTAAGCGGGAGTAAGGCGGATTAAGCCAGATTTCGGACTAGGGCAAGGTCAGAATTTGACCTCCCAGGAGTTGCATCCGAAGATATGAATGAGGGAGCGGCGGGGTCGTCAACAACCTCACCCCAGAAGGCCCCCCGCGGCGCACGGGGGTGCAGTCCCAGGGCCGCGAAGCAGCCCGCCGCTCGCCCAGGTCTGCGGCTGGACGGCGGGATGCCAGGCTCCAGGCCCCCATAATCGGGGAATCGGGGGACGCTGACGTTGAGGATGTTGTCTGGTGATGAGGGTGGTGACGATGACGATGACGATGACAACGACGACGACGACGATGACGACGACGAGGATGATGATAATGATGATGACGATGACGATGGTGATGACATTGATGATGATGCTGATGATGATTACGATGATTGTGTGTGTGGTGGTGGTGGTGGTGGTGGTGGTGGTGGTGGTGGTGGTGGTGGTGGTGGTGGTGGTGGTGGTGGTGGTGGTGGTGGTGGTGGTGGTGGTGGTGGTGGTGGTGGTGGTGGTGGTGGTGGTGGTGGTGGTGGTCGTGCTGGTGGTGGTGATACTGACGATGACGATGGTGCTGCTGTTGATGCTGATGATGATGACGATGATGATGATGATGATGACGATGATGGTAATGCTGATGATGGTGACGATGATGCTGCTGATGATGACGATGTGTTCTCCCGCTCCGCACCTGAGCGCGCCGTGGCACGGATGCTGGGCGCCCCATGGGACTTGCCTGACCCAGGGGTGAGCTCGCTAGCCTAGCCCCCTCCTCCTCCTCCTCCTCCTCCTCCTCCTCCTCCTCCTCCTCCTCCTCCTCCTCCTCCTCCTCCCCCTCGCCTTCTCGGATCAGGGCCACGTAACGGGGACTTCGATACACGGGGACTTTGGCGCCTCCGAGAAAACTGAAACCGTGGCAGGCCGAGACAGTTTCAAATATTTGCCCTCTCCAGGTGGAGGCGTCAGTCCTGGTCAGTAGCGTCCTGGTTTAGGGGTCCAGTCAGTCCTGTAGCGTCCTGGTTTAGGGGTCCCTGATCCCTGCTGGTCCAGAGGTCCCCAGAGAACTCTGCATGTCCCCAGGAGACCCCGCCGCGGGGAGGTCTCTGGAGGTCCCCACAGGCCCCTGGAGGAGGCACTGTACCGTCAAAGACGCTCGAAAGATTCCAGATCCTCCCCCTCCTCCTCCCCCTCCGCGCCCTCCCCCGTATCCTTCCCCTCCTCCGCCCTCTCCTCGTCCTTCTCGCCGCCTCCTCCTTCCCCCCCCCCATGCGCCCCCTCCGCCCCCTCCGCCCCCTCCTCATGCCCCCGCGGCGGTGCGGAAGCGCCAGACCGCGCGAATCTGAGCCCGTCTCTGCCTCCGTTAAGCAGGGACCGACCGTCCTGGCATTCCTATAGTCCTATCACGAAATCTTCGCATCACCCAAGAATGTTCTGCAAACAACAACAGTGGTCTTATAACATTCACCCGATGTGTTAAAACAAAGAAGTCCCAGCCAGAAATGTTCTAAGAGCATTTCGCCCAGACCACAAAAGGTTCTTAGAAGATTGTTTGGTAGGCCTACACCCCACCCCGAATAAAAATCCGGACCGCAGAGGTCGCGGAAACTTAGCGTTGAGTGTGTCCCGTTAGGCCGCGGGGCCCCAATACAATGTTGTCGAGACCGCCATGGCGGATTTCCGATTCATGCCTCGCCCCCTTTAACCTTATAATCGCCAAATGGGGCGACGAACGGGAATTCGCATTCCGCCCAATACTTCCCTCGAGCAAATTTCCGATCGGGTTCCAGAGGACCTGAAATTTCCAGAGGCGATCGGAAATGTGCGATTTCGCTTGAGACTTCCTCGCAACAACAAACAAATCCGGTCCGATTTATGATGCCTGGAAGTAGCGTCATTCTTTGGAAGATTCTGCAAAGCGCGTCTATTTGTCTCGACGCGCGCGCGATTCTAAACAGAACTTTCTGGTTCTGGTGATCGATGCTTTGCGGTGCTGTGCCGTTGTTCGGCGCGCGGCGCTGTCTCTGGTTCGTCTTGGAGGTCGTGTCCGAACTCGGGAGCCGAGAAGATCCATCGAGAGGGCCAGTGCTCCAGATGCAATCGGAGAGCGAGGACGCAAAGGGGCCTTGTGGGGCCGATCCGGACGTTTTAGTCCAGGAGGTGATATAGGCACGCCAGGACGCTTCGCCAATGCTTGGCTCCTCCTCCTCCCCTCCTCTGCCTGCCGCCGGGCGCGCGCGGGAAAGGGGGAGCGGCACGGGGGCGCGGGCGGGGCCGGCCTCCCGCAGCTTGCTGGTGGTCCGCGCTGTCTGCTCCACGGCGTCTGCCCAGGCGGCGGCTTTCTCTGGCGCAGCGCAGGCAAAACTCGGCGGTGGACACACCTCCCTTTAGTAAACCTCCCTTCAGTAGGAAGGCACCAACTATACACCAACACCGATCCTGGCCAGGATCACCCTGGGCCCAGGATCGGTGTATACGCCCTCCTGCCTTGCGCAAGAAGACATACACACCGATCCTGGGCCCAGGGTGATCCTGGGCCAGGATCGGTGTTGGTGTATAGCTGGTGCCCTCCGATTCAGTGCAAACGGCCCAGGACTGAAACCGACGAACCTGGACCCGCAAGAATGACGGCCGCGACGCCCTCTCGCGAACCGAAAACGGCCCATTCGCTAATCGACGCGTCAGGGTAGGAGGATTATCCAAACCCGAAAAACCAATCGTGAGGACGCAGGGTAAGGATGCAAGGCCCGTTTCTCGCCGATTCCGCTGTTTATGTTCCTGCATTGTCCGTCGCCGTCACTTTGCCGTTGCCGTAGCTGCTTCTTTGTCGCTTCTGGCGTCGCTTCCGACCAATATCTGGCTCCTTTTCTGTTACCGTTTCTGGATGTTGTTTTGTCCCGTTGCCTGTTCCCCGTCAAGGTCTCTGTGTGCTGCGCTTGCGCTTTTCTCTCTTTCGCGCTTGCTCACGGTCGTCAGCTGGATCTGGCACCATGTCGGGCTGAATCGTCACTGCCACTGCCGTCGGCTCCCTCAGGCTCAGATGCCCCCGCCCCCGCTCCCCCCTTTCCAAATCCATGTCCTTCGCGTGCTCCAGGGTCTCCTCGAGGCCCTCGTCTTCGACTGCTGCTGGCGCTGGGTCTCTTACCGACTCCCCAGCCGGATCTACCGATTTCTGCAGTTTCCGAATCCTCAAGTGGACCCCAGCGCCAAATCACCGACACCGACAGCGGAGACTGCAACTCAAACACGGACCAACCTGCTGGGATGAGCGCGCGCAACTGCAAAATGCAACTGCGCAACCGGTTGCAATTTTGTTTGACCTGGCTGGTCGCCGTTGTTGGTCGTCTCCGCCCTAGTCAGATGCATTTCCATGACATGAATTTACGGAAACGGTGAAAAACGGCCGTGCCGTTTCCGGGACCACATAAGGGACGGGTCGAACTTTCAAGGATGCACGGGTAGCATCGTCGACGTACTGCATCTTCACTCTGGGCTTTGACTGTAGCTCGAAGCCTCGTAGATGGGGTCCAAGTAGATGGGGTCGGAGGATCTCGCCGCATCGCCGATACCTCGGCGATGCATCGTCGATGCATCGGCGACGTCGGCGTGGAGAAAATCGCGGACAATCGGGCCCTGCATCGATCGCATCGCCAATGCATCGGCGATGCTGTGCGATCCTCCGACCCCATCTGCTCCAACCTCATCTGGGAGGCCCAGAGTAGAGGCGTTGCATCTGTGCCCATTCCCCCGTGTTAAACGTCTGCCTTCGGCGTTGTTCGGCGGACTTCAACGGTCTTCAGCGGCCTTCGGCGGTCCTCGACCGTCTTCAGCGGTAGTCTGTAGGGAAGCCTGCTGGCTGCGTTTGACACGGGGGGCATGACCGAACACCGAAGACGCCACCGGTAATAAGTCCCGACATGAAGAACAGCGCTTGGCCGCAACCCTCGATCACCTGGAAGAACTTCGCAAAGTCCTAGGGACTCCGATACAACCGCACAATAAACGCGGGAGAACCCGGGGACATCCCTGGGTACGGCACGAGGCAACCACGGGGTGTCCACGGGACTACCATGGGACAAACTCGGGACAACCCCCGGCACGCCCAAAAAGGCGGCACACAGACTCCTTTGAGCGCGGCCTGGGCGTAGCTAGAGCAGAGACTCGCGCTGCCTCGCCTCGCCCACACGCGCGACACGAAGTGAAATCGAAACCGGTGTCTTGGTTGGGCGACTCCGTTTCACTTCGGTCACACCGCCACAACTGGACGCCCGAGAACATCGGGGAGGTGGAGGCGGAAACCGAAGGGGGGGAGGGGGCGGCCTCAGGCGGCGCAGTCTTCCAAGAACACTGCCCCACATACTCTGTCCTGCGCACCTTCAACAAGGATGCCGCCATTTTTCGTACAAAAAGACCCTGCCAGCAGGTCGGCTGCTTATTCAACGACCCTGCCTGTTGCAATGCTTCGTTCCTTCAGCTGACGTGCGCGCAGACATCAGTCATCGGCACCAGCGGCGCTCAAATCGGGCGGGAGCGGATGCGCGAGAGCCTCACGAGGGCTTCTGGCACGCCGCCCACCCCAGAATCAGATCGGGGTCGGCAATCGCAAATCATCCCCATCCGCAATAGCATGACCTGGGCCCCATTGGCCAATTCCCCCCCTGTGCGTGGATGTATGCCTCCGCCTTCGGATGTCACGGGACCTATCCCTCCCCTAATAAAGCATGGCCCAAGGGGGATGGGGATCGGACGACGATGCCCCCCCCTCTGGAAGGACGACTCCTGCGCGGGTCCCCCCTCTTCCCTCCGAAGGCCTCCGGAGCCCTCGCGGAAGTCCTCGCCCCGGCCCTCGATCCCCCCGCAACGACGGAGATCGGCCTTCTGTTAGGTCGGGCATTGTTTCCTAAACGGATTTTGCAATAAAGAAGACAACCTAAACGTATTCAGTAGCTTTCCCCATGCGATTTCCCAACCATCCTGCGGTGTTGGGTCGTCGTTTCGCAGAGACGGTTACCGCATTCCTCCTCCCTCCATCCTTCCTCCCCCGCCCCCTCCTCCGTCCTCCCCCTCCTCCACGCGTCGCACCCGTCCAGTACAGCGATTCGCGGCCCCATAGGGACCTCCACCGAAGGCGCCAGTAGCAAGGTCCGCATGGCGGCCTCGGGCCATGTCAGCACACCCCTCACGAGGATCGTGGCCCCGTAGGGAGCTCCACCGACGGCGCTGGTGGCAATGTTCGCGTGGCGGCCTCGGGCAAGTTCGGCACACCCCTCTCCAGGATCGTGGCCCCCTGGGGAGCTCCACCGAAGGCGCCAGCGGCAGGTTTCGCATGGCGGCCTCGGGCCATTTGGGCACACCCCTCACGAGGATCGTGGCCCTGTGGGAACTCCACCGAAAACGCGCCGGTGGCAGGGTTGGCAAAGCTGACTCGGGCCATTTCGGCACACCCCTCACGAGGACCGTGGCCCCATAGGGAGTTCCGCCGAAGGCGCCGGCGGCAGGGTTCGCATGGCGGCCTCGGGCCATTTCGAGGATCGTGGCCCCATAGGAGTTCCACCGAATACGCCAGTAGCAACTAGGTCCACATGGCGGCCTCGGGCCATGTCGGCACACTGGCACACACCTCCAAAGGATCGTGGCCCCATAGGACTCCACCGAAAGCGCTAATGGCAGGGTTCGCGTGGCGGCCCCGGGCCATTTCGGCACACCTCTCACGAGGATCCTGGCCCCATAGTTGTGCTGCTTCAACAACCGCACCTGGGCGTCGTACTCCGCCTTGTTGACGTGCAACGCCACCTCCTCCCACATGGCTCTCATAACCCTTTCCTGCTTCTGCTTCTCGGTCAGAAGGGCGCCATCCTCGTCGTCGGCGCCCGCGAAAACGGCCACGAACGTGTCCCCGAGCATGTCGGGCTACGGCGAGAAGCCGTGGCCACATCGGGAGCGCGGGCGAAGATGGTATTCACAATTGCGGTATTCACAGCTGCATATCGTTGGGACCTTCGCCAGGCTCATTTCTCAAATGCCGTAGCACCCCGCAGATGCGGATATGAGTGAGGGGGCGGTGGGGACGTCGGCAGTTTGCGAAACTCTGGAGAAGCCCGCTGCAGGCGCCAAAGTTTCACATATGTTAAACCGATGTGGGTAGGCCGCGGGTGGGTCGCAAATTGGTCGCGGGTGTAAAGGGCAGGAAATTCACCCCATAATAATCACCCCGGCAGGCGAAGCCGTTTCGTAAACGCACACAAAGAATGAATCGAACAGGGCAGGGCTGCTTGTAAACGCACCCGATTATTTAGTAATGTTAATTGTCGGGTCCGGGTGGTTTTCCTACCTTGAGGGTGGGTCGCGGGGTGGGTTGCGGGTGGGTCGCGGGGTGGGTCGCGGATGGGTCGCGGGGTGGGTCGCGGGTGGGTCGCGGGGTGGGTCGCGGGTGGGTCGCGGGGTGGATCGCGGGGTGGGTCGCGGTGTGGGTCGCGGGTGGGTCGCGGGTGGGACGACGACAACAAACCACAAGAACAACCACAGCAACAACAACAACGCAACAAGCAGAATTCTCACCACGAGTTCCCTATTCAGCCACGCACTCAGGGACAACGAATGACCGTTCGGACCCGTCACTCTGACTATTTTTGAATATTCCTCCTGTAGAGGGACATGCCCAAATCAAGCCTCCTTCCGCCCCCCCCATTGGGCACACTCCGCAGCCAGCCGCACTGCGGTTGACCGGGAGACGTGAGACGCGAGGGAGGCGTCTGGCGCGGCCGAGGCAGCCCCCAGGAGTTGTCGTAGGAGGTGCGACTGGCAAGACAAGGCCAGGACGAGGGTAACAAAAAATCGGGTGAGGATACATCGAGGATCTCTGAGGTCGGGCGGCTCTGGAGGATGTCTCGGTCGCCGCGGCCTTCTCAGAGCGTTCCCGAACGCTCTGAAAGTGTTCTGGAACGCATTGGAACGTATTCATCCTCGTCTTAGCCCCGCCCGAGCTGGGTGAGGGAACAACTCCAGAAATGCCTTTGCAAGGACGAGCACGCAAGGGCGATCAAGACATATTGCGGGTCCACGGTGCAAGACAAGGCCACAATTGCCCTGGGATTGGGCCGAATGCATCCGGATTGCGGCGGATTGAGCGGGATTAAATTGGATTAGACGGGAATGAACCAGACCATGCCAGGTTTTCGACCCGCGATAGAGCAACGCCGATTCGAAATTAACCTTCAAGGAGCACCGAGTTGGAGCAGCGACGAGTTTGGAAGGTCATCCCATTCGAGAGCACCAGTTTGGGATTTTTTCTGGCGCGCCTAGCGCGGCCAGTAATCCCCTGGAGATTTGCATTGGAGGCTTAACTCGGGGGCTAATTTCCTCGTGCGCCAGGGGTCAGGATGACGTGCGTTTCAGAGAAACTCACTTGAAATACTTGACCAGGTGCACTTAGCAAGCAGGTCGTCTACAATAAGCATGCTCATGCACACGTCTACTCACTGATTCTTGCGCGCGCAAGCGCGATGCACCATAGCGCTGCACAACGCGCACAGCAAATGCACACGACGCATTTCGGAGTAAACGTGGTTCCGCGTTGTATATGCGCCGAAGAGGATGCTTGGAGTCCATGCCGACGTGCAGGACCAAGTCCAATGAAGGTGAAATCATCAATGAGGTCGGCCCTGCGGAGCTAATCTCGAGCAATGCAATCGACCCTTGATGGCTCGTTGGCAGCCCTGGCAAAACGAGCGCATGGCGGACTCCCGCCCACCGGGGGATTCGACTGCCGTCGACAGTTGCAAGTGGAGCACCTTGCTGAGCACGGAGTGCTGCTGTTGGGACCTGAAGACTCGCTGTGGCCGACGTGGGCAAATAAGGCGGCGAGGGAGAACAAAGATGAGGCAGAAAACGATACAGGGAGAGCGCGAGAAAAACAATATCAACGAATCACGCACACATTTATAGCTTTACAGATCTGTGTGTAGACAGAGAAACGGAGAGAGAAAGAACGAGAGTGCACCAGTGATAAGGTCTCGAGGACAAAGCGGAGGAACCTAAGGAGGGGTACGTACATGTCACGCATGAGTATCTGTATCTGTAAATGTCTGTCTCTCTCTCTCTCTCTTTCTGTCTCTCTCTCTCTCTCTCCTTCTCTATAGATACACGTATCTTTATGGATGTATATATATATATATATATGTGCGTGTGCTTACGTAGCTGTACGACTGCAAACACGTTGAACAGCAAATGACCATGATCCGCCAAATAACACCCCAGAGCACCTCGAGAAGCCCAGAAATGGCCCCCAACACGGTCATCAAACAACCGACCACAAGACGACCCGTCAGGCCCCCAAGAAATCACAGGATGAACGGCAAAGGACGCACAGGAAGGGCACCAATAGTTGGTTGTCCCCCACAAGCATTGGCGCGGGCTTCTAATTTGTTTAAATTGAATTGGCGCCGGAAATGAAGAAAAAGAATTGGTAATTGATTTGGCTCAGGAAACGGTCTGGGTTGCCCCGGGTGGCTTGCGAGGTTGCCCACTGATAGAGTGGCACGTGTGACTGGCAGTCAAGATCTCGCACTTGGCAGAATGAAGGTGCGGTCCCAAATCCATAACTTAATTTTGGCGGGCCCATCTGATTGTGAAAGAACAAACCTGGTACACTTGATCAGAGAACTTGGTGCTCGAGTGGGGCGCGCCGGGGGCGGCACTTGCTGCAGACAACAAAAAGGCCACTTGCGCAGCTCTACCTTATCACCGACTATCAGCACCAAAGGCGCTTCTATCGGCATCCAAATTCGAAAAAATCGAACCTGGAGCAGTCCATGACACCGATTCGCTGCTGGTTAAATTGTGGCGCGGGCTTGGCCATCCAAGGATTTCTTTCCGAGCCCTCCGAAGACCTTCCTTTACCCAGGCAGTTCCCCGTAGATCGTCGTCCCTTCTGATCAACCCTGCTTTCCTCCCTCCAACATCAGCGAAATACGCACATGAGGCCAACTTGAGAAACCGCCGGAAGGTGGACAGAAGGTACGCCTTGGTAAAAGAAGACAAGCGGCCGACTTCAGCAGCGGCCCCCATTGTCTCTCGCGGGACGCGTCGGCGGCGTCGACTTGCAGCAGCAGCTTCCCCGAGGCTGGAAGTTCCGACGTCTTGCAGATGGACAGGCATATCCTCCGGTCTGTGACAGCCAGTTGCTGCTCTTCTGTTCTGCCCCCCCCCTGGTTGCCACCCACCTCATGTTTTCAAACAGACGCTCACCATAAGACAACACACACGTTGCTTGTGTCGCGGCGCCAGAGAGCGAGCGGTGCGCAAGAGTCAGCGCCGGTGTGCAACATGGCGAGGTGAACACGCTCGCCAACGCACATCAAAGACCGAACGCCGAACGAATCAAACCACCCTACAGCGCATTCAACAGCATACCGCCAGCGGGCGGAGGCCGTGATCACGGGGCAAACGGGGGGCGGGGCACAGGACAGCAGGGCAGCGTGAACACCCGACACGGAGGCAAACAACGAGCGAACGATGCTGAACGACGAGGACCAAGACGCAGTGACGAAGGCGAAGAAACGCCACGTGCCTCAGTGGCCACCGCAGATTCGCCTGCACGCCTGCTGCAAACTCGGCTTGCATGGTACCGCAAACTGCAGCGCTACAATTGCGGCGCGCGCGGGCGCTCGAGTCCTCGGCTGGAGGTTCTGCCGCGCGCCCTGTCGGAGCGGAGGGCGATGCGGAGGGACCCCTGCTGAGGCGAGACCTCCTCATCCTCCTCCTGCTCCTCCTCCTCCTCCTCCGAACCCCTGCTGAGGCGAGACGGGGAAACCCTGATGCCCTGACCAGGGGAAGGCATGGCACCCTCGCGAGCTGATGCCCGAGATTGGGCGCTGCGTTTCGGATCCGAGCCTCTTGCACGATACGACCAGTCGGCCCACCTGAATATGAATGGTCTCCTGTCGCGTTTGTATCATGTCAAGGGTGGCGTAAGCGACCAAGTAACCTCATGCCCGTGAGAATAAACACTAGGGGATAATAAAGTTCGGGGTTCAGGGAGAGATAATAAAAGTAGCCCAGCAGACCTCAGCATAATCTCGAAGTAAGAGATGATCAAGAGGAGACCAAGCCGAGCACGTTTTGAGACATCCTTGGCGTTTAGTTTTCATAGAAATATCCTCAACAATGGCTTATCTCGCTGGAATGGAGGAAGCTATATATAAAACATAAAAATAAAAATAATAAATAATAAAATAAAAAGAAATGATAGGAGGAGGAGAAGGACGAAGAGAAAAAAAACTCGAGTTTCAAATCTATTAGATTTTATTTACAAGCGCTTTATGAACATTGTTTGTTGTAAGTGCTCGTGTAGGGTAGCTCATGTGCCTCGATTTCCATGGATAATCAACCCCAGAGATAAAAAAGTTCAGGCGAGCGTGGGGACAGAGAGAAATATAAAAGAAGAATAATCCAGTAGAAGACTAATAAGAAAGAAGAAGAAGAGGATAATAAGAAGAGGACGAAGAAAAAAAATCCAAAGTTCCAAATCTAATGTTTTTAAGTGCTCGTGTAGGGTAGCTCATGTGCTTCATTTTCCATGGATAATCAACCCCAGGGATAAAAAAGTTCTGGCGAGCGTGAGGACAGATAGAAATATAAAAGAAGAAGAATACATTAGAATAATAAAAAGAAGAGAAGAAGAGAATATGAAGAAGAGAAGACGAACGGAAAAATGGAAAGTTCCAAATCTATCAGTTTTAATTTACAAACGCTTTATGAACATTGATGTTTTTAAGTGCTCATGTAGGGTAGCTCATGTGCTCCCCTTTCCATGGATAATCAACCCCAGAGATAAAAAAGTTCAGGCGCGCGCGGGGATAGCAACATCGCTTGATGTTGCTATCTCAACATAGCGTTTCGAGGTGATAATGAAGTTCGGCCTCAGCGCTCGCCGCCCAATTTGAATTTTGTATAGGGCGACGATAATCAACTCTAAACACTGAAGGGGGGGTCCCTTTATTATCATCGGCATGCGGTTAAGCTGCTTGGAAAGCCAGGGCCCCCGATCGTGACACTGAGGGCCAGAGAGCCCTGTGCAACGAGTGCATCGGCAAGGCGAAGATAGCACGTCCACGTTCCAGAGTGGACGATTCGCAGCCAACCGCAACAGTTGCTGAGGGTGGGTGGGTCCGAATTCCTCACCCTCGGGCCGAACAGAAGTCAAGGGAGCAAACAACGCTCTAGGGCGGCTCTGGGGTGGCCGCTCTGGGGTGGCAGCTGACCCATGATTCCACAGACGTCCCTGGACCGAGTATCCCCCCAGCACAGACACACACACACACACACACACACACTTACGCACGCACGAGACACCAGAGCAAACCTGTATCGTGGAAAGACACGTGCGGGCGCCAGAAAAAGTCCGCGGGGCCTCGAGATCGGGCCCCAGAAGCCAGGAGATGGATCCTGCACTCGATTGGGCCCCAGGGATGGGGCGCCCGATTCCAGCTCCGAGGGGCGCAAGGAGGGTGCGAGGCCAACCTGGTCAGGAGGCGCCTGGAAGGCCTCTCGAAGGGCCAGGGGGGAGCGAGGGCCCCTGGGTCTCTCGGGAGGAAAATCCCGAGTACACGCTGCAGGCTCGCAGGGGATATCGCGTGTCTCATCCGCTGCCCCCCGCCCTGCCCGCCCGCTCACCAAGGCCAGTCTGCCCTGTGGCAAATCCGCCGACCCTGTCGGCGTGTGGAAGAGGCTTCTCCGTCTGCTCCCTCTTCGTCGTCGTCGATGTTCCTTCTTCTTTCCCCACAGCGTCGTTGCTTCTGCCCCTCTCCCAAGGCCTCCTTCTGAGGCGCGCCAGTCCACGGCGAGATTGAAGAGCGTCGTACTTGAGTCGAATGGAAGCCCCTTCCCTTTGATCCCTTACCCGGGAAGGGGGGGGGGGGTCCCGGGGTAATTCCCGGGGGGGGTCCCGGGTTTATACGCCGCCCTCCCGGGGAATCCCGGAGCCCAAAAAGGCCCCAAGACCGGCCAAGAGTGCCCCAAGAGGCCCCAAAGATAATCCAAGAGGGCCCCGAATCGCCGAATGATCTGTCCAAGACGCATTGACGGCCTCCAGGCGGCCCAAGAGGCCTGCGAGACGCCCCCAGAGGCCTCCAGGACCGTTCCCACGAGAGCCCCAAGAGGCGCAAATCATGGATTTCCCATGCGTTTTTTCAAGAATTTTGGCGTTCTCGCCTCTTCCGCTTCCCCACGCGCCAAGACGGCCCAAGAGGCTCCCAAGATCGCCCCGACACGGCCCAAGAGGTCTCCAAGAGGGTCCCCAAACGGCCCAAAAGTGCCCCAAGACGGCCAAGACGCCTCCCAGATGCACAAAAGACCCCCAAAACGGTTCCAAGAGAGTGCCCAGACGGGGGACCCGAACGGACATTTCGAGCCCTCAGCCCCGAGAAGCTCCCAAGAGGCCCCCCAGGAAGCCCAAAAAGGCCCCAAGAGGCTCCCGTGTGTTTTCTTGGGCCTCCCACCCTCCCCCTCGTCGGCAATGCGCTTCTCCCATACTGAGCATTCTTCCTGCTGCGTTGTTATTTCTCCCCAATGACAGAACGCTGTCTCCAGGGTCGGCGGCATCGGCCGTAAGGCCTTCGCAATACGTGGTCAAATGATGAAACATAAACCCAGCGCGACCCCAATCACGGGAACGCTTCCTAAGCGGCGTTGCTTAGAATTGCTTGGTATTGTCTTGTTTCGTTGTGCATTGTCTTGAATCGCTTGGCATTGCTTTGCATTGATAGGTGCTGCTGGGCATTGCTTGAACATGCTTGGCGTTGCTTGCAATTGCTTGGCATTGCGTTGCATTGATTGGCGGTGCTTGGAATTGTTTTGCATCGTTTGGCATTGTTTGGCGCTGCTTGGCCCTGTGTGGCATTACTTAGCGTTACTTGGCACTACTTGGCGTTGTTTGGCATTGCTTGGCGTTGCTTGGCGTTGCTTTGCACGGCTTGCCATAGCTTGGCATTGCTTGGCGTTACTTGGCATGTATTGGCAATGCTTGGCGTTGCTTGGCGGGGCTTGGCGTTGCTCGGCGTTGCTTGGCATTGCTTTGCGCTGCTTTGATATGCTTGGCATTGGTTGGCATTGTTTCACGTTGCCTGGCGTTGCCTGGCACTGCTGGGAAACAAAACCAACAACCAGGGCGGGGAACCCGAGGAGCCAGGAGAACCCGAGGGACCCTGGGAACTCGGTGAAGCTCTGGAGAACGGGCACGGTAAGAATACGAGGCGCCGGGGGAGGGGGACCCGAGGAACCCGGGGAACCCGAGGAACCTTCGGGAAACGGGCAACGCAAGCCCTCGAGGCACCAACTTCAACCAAATAAGAACCCCTTAGGGAAACCGAATTGGGGAACAAATGGAAATGGCCTCTCCCTTCTCCTCCTCCTCCTCCTCCTCATCATCATCCCTTCTACCCTTCTCCTCCAACTTCGCCTCCTCCTCCTCCTCTTCTTTTTCCTCCTGTCGCAGGAGGCTTCAACAGAGCCTACAAGAACACGTGCGGGCATTCCCTCTGTTTTTGCTGTGCTCCGTCCCGCGGGGGGGCCTCAGCGGAACCATGGAGTTGCCGTTGACATGGAATGACTTACGGGGAAAAACTTCTGGCTTCGGTGCCGCCTCATCCTGTTCACTCACACGCGTGGGCGCCAGTCGTGGGCTAAGGGGCACTGTTGCATCCTCGGTTAGCATGCCGCCCGGAGCCCGACCTTCCACGTCTTAGGCGCCTGCGGGGTCACACAACAGTTGCGCGCTGCCTTCTGGCAGGCCCGAGGGAGACCGAAACCCGAATCTAGGGAGGAATGCGCCATCGTCCTGCTGAGTACATCGCCAGGGGATGCAGGCTACTCCGGAGCAGCATCGCTAGATTTCCTGGAGCAAGAAGCGACACCCTTCTGAAAAAAACTCGTTCCCCTCCGTCCGGCTAGCCTCTCTCCCTCCGTCCGGCTAGCCTCGTATCTACGTCGTACGTTGGCGTGGGATGGAGTCGAGACCGGGCGAAGATCCCTGCCAGAAGGCTGCTGACGCCCCCTCCCCAGGGAGTCTCAAATCTAGCATTTGCCTTCCGGCTTTGGGCGTGGCACCTCCCCGGAGGGAGGCTTGGGCACGGTGGCACGCAAGTCCTCGTACCCTCCCCTTCTCTCCCAGGGCTGCTTCCAGAGAGTGGTCCTCATCCATCCCTGGGCTGACGTTGTGGGGTTGCTGTCGGTCGCTGGTTCAGCCCCGCAGCTCTGTACCAAAGGGGATGAGCCCGCAGTCCAAACATGCCATCTCGCTGGGAGGTCACCAACCAACCAACCAACCTCTGTTCCCCCTCCTCGTCCTCCTGCTTCCTCCATTTTTTGCCTCGTCCTACTTCCCATTCCCCCTTCCTCATCCCCCCCAGTCCTCATCCGCGCAAATTTTCCTATTCCGTTTTCTCCCCCTTCTCCTCCCTCCCTTCTCCTCCTCCTCCTCGTCCTCCTCCTCCTCCTCCTCCCTCTCCTCCTCCTCCTCCTCCTCCTCCTCCTCCTCCTCCTCCTCCTCCTCCTCCTCCTCCTCCTCCTCATCCTATGTCCCCATCTCCATCCTTCATATCCCCCCCATCTTCATCCGCGTCATTCTTCCTCCCCCTCCTCCTCCTTTTCCTTCTCCTCCTCACCCTCCTCCTCCTGCTTTTCCTTCTCTTCCTCCTCCTGCTTCCCGATCCCCCATCCCGCATCCCCCTCCCCATCTCTCTTCCGCGTCATGTTGCGCTATCCCGCAGCCATCATTTGCGTTATCCCGCAGCGCAGCCTCTCGTCAACACACATGATCCCAGCAATATCCTTCATCGTCCATTATCCTTGGCCGTCCTCACAGGCAGGCAGCAAGAACAGGATGAGAATCAGCAGCAGGGCAGGCAGGCATCCGCCGAGCAGCCCGCGCGACACCCCCCCCCTTTGTGGCGGAGAATCCCGGCCGACGCCGCGGCCGGGAAGCGCGCCGGACGGGCCGGTTGCGCCAAGAAGCACCGCCTCGATCTCGACGAGCACCCGCAAAAACGACGCAGCGACCAGGACAACATCGAACTGGGATCTAGGAATTCTTAGCCGTTGCAGCGCACGGCGTGGCGCCAAACTTGCGACGTATCTTCACCTTGGCTGCTCGATCTCGAGCTCAGGGTTCCAGGGTAGAGCCAAGCGTTGTCTGGGGAGGTTTAGGGAGGGTTGAAGCGAACATGCCGGGGATCACCGCACGAAAAAAGTTGTCGCTTACATTGAAAAGTGTTTTGCATTGCATGTGTTTTGCATGGTCTTTTGCGCTGTAGTGGCGCTGTTCAAGCCTTAGCCTGGGATTCTGCGTCGCCAGGGCGCCCAGGCGGAGCGGGAGGATGCACTTCTCGGTCGACTCCGGCGTCAGAACTGCCCGGCGCGCCTGGGCCGACATTGCAGGTTCCTTGCGTTACAAGTTATTCTGCATTGCAAGTTGTGTTTCATTGGACTTGCTTTGGCGCTGTAGTGGCGCTGCTCGATCTTGAGCTTAGGCTTCCACGTTAGAGCCAGGCGTGATTTTGGGAGGTTCAGGGAGGGCTCAAACGCACGTGTCGGCGACAGTAAGGCAATCACAGTTTGCTTTGCATTGCGTTGTGTTAGCGTTGCAATTGTGTTTGCATTGGAGTTTTGTTTGCGGTGCAGTGGCGCTGCTCGAGCATGGTTTTAGGATCCCGCGTCGGGGGAAAGCCGGCGCCCACAACACGAAAATAGTTTGTGTTGCATTGCAGCTTATGCTGTTTCATTGGATGTAGTTTTGCGTTGCAATTTTGTTTGCGTTGTGGTGGCGCCGTTCGACCGTGAGCTCAGGATCCCGCGTGAGAGCCAAGTGTGGTTTGGGGAGATTCAGGGAGGGATGAAGCACTCATGTCGACGACCACCACACGCAAACAATTGTTTGCATTGCAGTTTCTTCTACGTTGCAGTTGTGCTTGCATTGCAGTTCTGTTCGAGCTTGAGCTCAGGACTCCGCGTGGGAGTCAAGCGTGGTTTAAGGGAGATCCAGGGAGGGTTGACGCGCACATGTCGGCGACCACCACACACGCACAATTTGGTGTACTACATATTGTTTGCATAGAATTTGTTTTTGCATTGCAGCTTTCTTTTGCGCTGTAGTGACGCTGCTATAGCTTGGGCTTCGGATTCCGCGTTAGAGCCAAGCGTGGTTTGGGGAGGTTCAGGGGGGGTTGACGCGCACGTGTTGACGACCACCGCACGAGAACATATTGTGTTTGCATTGCAGCGTTTGTTCATTGCTGCTTTGGGGAATTGGTTTTTTCCATAGCATAGAACTCCAAGACATTCTAAGAGGTCCCAAAGAGGGCTTCAAGAGGATGCCAGGACGGCTTCAACAATATCATATCAGGATCCTCTGGTACTTGTAAGTTGCACTTCTTCACTGCAAATCGTTTTTGCGTTGCAGGGAGCTCCACCAGGTCCCCAAGAGGGTCCCGAGAGGGTTCCAAGAGGGTTCCAAGAAGCCCCCCAACAGTATAGTATCAGGAGCATTTGGTACTTGAAACTGCTCGAGGCGAAACCTTCTTATGCGCCAACGCCTTACTATGCGTTTGGGAACAAGAACTGATATGGGTGCCTTTCCGTTGCAGCCGGATTTGACGCAGCAGCCCTTTCGGTTCCAGCCCCAGCTGCGGCGACGCCAGGGGCGGGACGATGACGACGACAACGACGACGAGGAAGTCGAGGACGAGGACGAGGACAGCAACGACGACGACGACGAGGAAGTCGAAAACGAGGACGAGGGCGACAACGACGACGACGTCGTTTTCTGTTGGATCTCGGCCTTTCCCGAACTGTCGTGCCCACCGCGGCGGGGGGGCTGCCGCGGCCTCGGCCGCCACGAAGACGTTGCGAGAGGAGGCGGAGGAGGGAGAGGATGCAGGGCTGCCCCGTCGGGAAGCATCTGCCCAGAGCGTGAGCGTCGGGGAGAGCACACAGAAGAGGAGGGGCGAGAAGTCGAAGCGAGGAGGGACGAGGGAGGAAGAGCAGGAGCCCGCGGCTGCTGCGCGCGAGGGGAAAGGGCCTCCGCAAGCCTCTGGTCGAAGGCGCCGTCCTCGCCGCCGAAGCCTGCCCCGCCACACGGCCGGGCAGGAGAGAGACCCTCGAGGTTCGAGGGTCGAGGATTTTGAGCGTTTGCGATGTGAACTGGGCTTCTGTCTGGGCCTTTGCCAGGAAACGTAGTGCAGATAGTGGGGAGCAGACGATTCGACGACCAACGTCTAACGATCGCACGCCTACCCGTCCACCGCACCGTGCGAAGCAAGGGATGCGAGCGTAACATCGTGGTCACGCTCCTGCGGCCTCCGTGCTGGGGCCTAACAATCACATCCCCGCCCCCGACTTGACCCCCTTGTCGGGAAGCCGTGGGGGCCACGTGACGGCTTGTGGAAACCCTGAACCCAAAAACGTTTCCATCTCCTGGGGGCATCTTTTACTTCCGCCGTCTTGCGCCGGCGGAGGCGGCCTCCTTGTGCTTCCGCCGATCCTCCGCCGCCTTCCGCCGCTGCAGAGATGGCAGCGCAGGAGCGCCGCAGGTGGAGGCCGCCCCTCTGGAGCGCCTCAGGTGGAGGCCGCCCCTCTGGAGATGCAGAGAGGCCCCCTCTGGAGCGCCTCAGGTGGAGGCCGCCCCTCCGGAGGCCTCCGGGGGCCTCCGCGGGGGGCCTGCTGGAGGCCCTGGGCGGAAGGGTCAGGGGCGCGCGCTCCCGAGGTGGGGTCTGGGGTCAGGGTCAGGTTGGAGGCCACGGACGGAGAGAGGGAGGAGGGTGGGAAGGAGGGAGGGGGGGAAGGGGAGAGGGGGGGAAGGCAAGCTAGGTGCGCTCGCGTCATATCTGACGTCCTACCCCTCCCTCCCATCCCTTACCATGGCGCTGATTTTCTCTATCCGCGGACGCGTGTCGTAGCGGACCTGTGGCTCCGCGCGCGCGTGCGTAGTGGGTGGTGGTGCACGTGCGTGCGTGCGTGCGTGTGTGCGTGGTTGTGGTGGTGGTGGTGGTGGTGGTGGTGGTGGTGTGTGTGGTGGGTGGTGGTGGGTGGTGGTGGTGGTGGTGTGGTGGTGTTGGTGGTGCTGGTGCTGGTGTGGTGTGGTGGTGGTGGTGGTGGTGGTGGTGGTGGTGGCGGTGCGGCGCGGTGGTGGCGGGCGGATGGGCGCGCGAGAAAAAGGCCCGCGCTGGGGCGAGAACGCCATCCTGAACGACGGAGGCCAAACACCGATCCGAAAATGAGGCCCACGCTGCAGCGGGAGCACGATTCGGAACGATTCGGGAGCAGAAATGAGGCCGGCGCCTCAACGAGAGCAGCATTTTGGGAAAAAATGACGCTGGCGCCTCAGCGAGAGTCGTTTCCTGGGATTTCCTGGGCATCCTGTGTGTAAAAAAACAGTACGCGGAGGGTGCGCGGCCATCACCCGGACGCCATCAGGGGAAGAGGGAGAGCATTTTCATATTGAATAATTGTAGAGAGGGGGGGGAGGAGAGGGGGGGGGAGGGGGAGGGGGCAAGTTAGGTGCGCTCGCGTCAACATCTGACATCCTACCCCTGCCTCCCATCCCTTACCATGGCGCTGATTTTCTCTATCCGCGGACGCGTGTCGTAGCGGACCTGTGGCTCCGCGCGCGTGTGCGTAGTGGGTGGTGGTGCGCGTGCGTGCGTGCGTGTGTGCGTGGTTGTGGTTGTTTTGGTGGTGGTGTCTATGTGTGTGTGTGCGTGTGTGCGCGTGTGCTGTGGTGTGACGTGGTGTGGCGTTTTGGTGGTGTTTGGGGTGGGCCAGGTGCGTACGTGCGTGATGGCGGTGGTGGTGGTGGCGGTGGTGGTGTGTGTGTGTGTATGTGTGTGTGTGTGTGTGTGTGTCTGTGTGTGTGTGTGCGTGCGTGTGTGTGTGTGTATGCGTGTGCATGTGTGTGTGTGCGTGTGTGCGTGCGTGCGTGCGTGCGTGCGTGCGTGTGTGTCTGTGTGTGCGCGCGTGTGATGTGGTGTGACGCGGTGTAGCGTGGTGGTGGTGGGTGGGGTAGTGCGGTGGTGGTGGCGGTGCGCGGTGGTGGTGCGCGTGCGTGCGTGCGTGCGTTGGTGGGTGGAAGTGGCGGTGGGTGTGCGTGCGGCGGGGCGGGGCGTGGTGCGGCGCGGTGGTGGCGGGCGGATGGGCGCGCGAGAAAGAGGCCCGCGCTGGGGCGAGAACGCCATCCTGAACGACGGAGGCCAAACACCGATCCGAAAATGAGGCCCACGCTGCAGCGGGAGCACGATTCGGAACGATTCGGGAGCAGAAATGAGGCCGGCGCCTCAGCGAGAGCAGCATTTTGAAAAAAAACGCAAGCGAAAACCCAACTCCGGGGAATCGTGTGTGTAAAAAAACAGTACGCGGGGGGGGGGCGAATACGCAAAAGACGTCATCAGGGGAAGAGGGAGAGTAGTATTCATATTGAGTAGTTGTGGAGGGGAGGAGGGGAGGGAAGAGGGGGGGACGGTTGAGGGAAGAGGGGGGGGGGGACGGTTGAGCACAGGGGCCGTAGGCTTGGCGGGGAGGTGGAGGCGGGAGGGGGGCACGCTGTGGGCGATGCTCCCAAGCGGGAAGCGGTCTCGTGCGGCAAATTCGCCCTACAACCCAGTCCCCATATCGCCTCCAGATCGCCCCCACGTGTGGCGATTCGCCTGTGGACAGCGAGGCTTTTCCCGTTGTAGCCCCAATGTTGGCCAAACATGTTGGCGGTGCCTGCTGCGGACATCTGACAATGGCCCCCCCCTGTCCACAACGAGATGGTCAGAAGAATAAGGGAGGCTTGTGTACAGCAGGGCTCTACTGTCAAACCCGCAGTTTGGCTGAGCCCAGCCCTTTTCAATTTGACAGTGGGATCCCAATGTAAACAGTGGGATATGTCTGCAACATGGTTCCCTGTTGACAATGGGGCCCCATGGCCGAAACCACATTGGGGTGGAGCAGGCAGTGCGTCAATGCAAGTGTGACGGTCGGGCACCGCTCTCAGTAGGGAACTCGCCGTCTCCTTGTGCACCACCGCGGGGGATGATGTGCCCCTCCCCTGGCCCCGCAAATGGGGCGGGTCAACTCCAACGATTTGAAGGAAGGCGGGAGGGTGGAGCCCCCTGAAAAGTCCGGTAGGCGGGTGGTCGGGGTGCCAAAAGTGCTCGTGGGTGTCCAAGCTGCCACTGTAGGGCACCAAGATATTACAAACGCAGCCGAAGAAGCATCTCAAAACACGTTTCTCAATCTTCGGTGATACACTGGTGGGGGCAGGAGGGGTGACGGCCGATAACCTGACCTCTTCGCCCTGAACAGCTAGACGTATGCCTCTGCGCACCGCGTGTGTGGCAACAGCCTGCGAGCGCTACAACATGCCAGCGATCAGCACAACGCTCCTGCGACGACAGAGCGTCGAATGAAATTTGACCGTGCCAATACCATGGCGGCGTCCGAACACCCCGCGTATGCACCGCTGCATGCCGGCCCCTCTGTACTACAAAGCGCAGGAGCGCCACAGTACGCCTGCGAGCACCTGAAACATACCCGTTCTAGCCAGGGTAGCCTGCGAGCACCACAGTCTCGTGAGTGCCAGAGCCAATGCCTGCAAGCAATCAAAATAAGCGGGCTATCGCACCCCGCCCCCCCAAAACATTCATAAACGACAAGGTTCAACTATACGGGATGAGCGGGCCGGATATCCAGGAACATCGCCAAACTCCTCCAAAATGAGCTCGAAGACGCCAAAGAGACCGAGGAAACCTTGAAGTGGTCAACCGCACGCCCCAAGAAACACGCGAGAGGCCCACAGAGGTCGCAAGAGAGGCCCCAGACCGCCAAACACTTTCCATACGTAACGCTTTGAGGTACTGTCCCTTCCTAAACCTTTCGGCCCAAAATGGCCTCTCAAGCTTTGAAGAGAGACAGCCAAAATATGGCCCGAAGCTTGCCAAAGTGGTCCGATAAGACGGCCCAGCAATGCCTCAAGGGGGGCCCACGACATTAGATTCGGAGGAGGATGCGGCCAACTTCGTACCAAGTGTTCGAGGGAGGAGCAAGGTCGTTAGAAGCTCAGCTGCGAACACACACACGCACACACTGGTTGGACCGCGAAGAAGGACTCGCTTTTCTCGCGTGTTCTCCTCACACTCATGGGCACGGGAACGTCAAACATCGCGGTCCTGGAGTCGGTCGGTGGGAACTGACAGTTTCCTCTCGCATGCTCCCAACCAGGTACGGTCGTTCAGGCGCGTACGTATGTCCCAACACGATCGTGGGACATCTTCACGCGTAAAGCTCAAGCATCGTGTTATTCAACCATGAAGCACAACGCCAACCCACCCCCAGTGAAGCAAGCAACACGGCACCTTCAAACGCATTGGACACTGTGGACGCATCATGCTGCAACGGAACAGCTGCCGCTCATGTACTCGACATGGGTCAAGGCGACTCTAACTATAGAAACATCCAGTGGTGATATAAACGTCGAACGGTCGCGAAAATAACGACTTTCAAAGCGTAGCGACATGCAAGACGCGTCGCGCCCACGGCGCCAATCGGCCAGATATGAGGTGGGAGAAACAAGCGACAGGATGGAAGACGAGAGGGAGAAATAAGAGAAAACGTAAAACAATGCACACACACAACATAGAAACACATTGGTCCCAAGCGTTGTTGCCCAAATTCGGCCTGCGAGGACGGCGGATCCGACAGGTGAAAGCGAAACGATCCCTCTTCCCACAACCCGCGCGCGAGGCCATAGAGCGGGCTGTGACCTCATCACTCGGCTCTGTCTTCCCTCCGACAGCCTTCGTTGCATGCCGCCCCATGCGGGGGGGGGGGGGGAAAGATAACAATACCAACACCATCTCCATTTCCATTATGTGACGACGGCCGCACTCCCAGGCAATAGTTTCCTTAGGATTATTACGTGCCAACCTGAATCGAACGCGCCGCGCCGCTGGACAGCCAACCGCAAACGTGGTAGGCCGAAACAGCAATGGGCCGAACGTGTCAGCAAGCTTTTAAATGATCAGTGGCTGTAAGCGTCCTCCCCTTCCACCTCCCCTCCTACTTTCCCTCCTCCCCCCCGGCTCCGCCAGCTTGTTGCTTTACAGTCGGGCGTTTCTTCTTGTGCGTTACAGTCGTGATGCGCGCTGTGTTGCTAGATTTCTGCATGGCTACATCATAGATCATGGCCTTTTGACTTATTATCTGCCAATGCGCCGTGCAGGCGCCAGGCTTGACTGACTGACTGACGCTTTCGTCGTTTGAGCACCTCCTGGGAGGCCCTCGTGTCCACGGCCAGATTCGCCTCGAAATCTTGGTCAGAACGCGCGTGCCCCGAAGGAGGTCCATGGAAGGGCGTCATGGGCATCCGTTTCCCCGACCCCGTGGCGTTTGACCCCTCCGCTTGCCACCCATGCCCTCCAGTTAACCCGCTCCTTGCCCCTCCTTCCCCACGTGCCCTCTTCCCACAACCGCTAATTAACCTGCCCTTGGATTTAAGTCGAGCCTGTCCCCCTACAGAAGGATTTTGGGCGAAAAATGAAAAAATCAAAAAGCCCCACAATGGTCAAAAGGTTTAAAGCAAAAAAATCGTGCCCAGATTATTCTTTGACTATTTTCGAATGTCCCTCCTGTAGTAGTAGAGGGACAGGCCCGACTTCACCCTGGCTCCGCCCGCAAATGACCGAATCGATTGGATCGTGGCCAGTCCTGTCCCGCTCCACGTCCTCCCTGCTCCTCCCTCCCGCCGATGGACGCGACGGAGTCGTTCAGCCCCGGGAGGTCGAGGGTCACCCAGGTCTGGTAGAGCATACCTCTCGCGGATCGGTGGCTTGAGATCGGATGAGCAGACAGTCAGGAGGCAACTACCGGGATGTTTTCGCCGGAGAGATTGAAGAGGATTAAGCCTCATTTGGGGGCTATTGCGCCGGAGTGGGCCTCGGATTATGCGGGATTAAGCCGGATTAACGGGATTAAGAGGGATTAAGCCGGATTAAGCGGGATTAAGCGTGATCACGCCGGGCTTCGGACCAGTGCAAAATCAGAATTTGACCTCCCAGGAGTTGCGTCCCAACAAACAGGTGAGCGCGACGACATCCCCACGGAGACAGCGAAGCAAGAGAACAAAGAGCTCTCATGCGCAGGCAAAGCCCGCAAGCCGGCAAGCCCAGGCGGGAAACTGTTCCGGCAAGGGCGAGGTGGGGCAACAATAGCAGCAACACATGGAAAGACGAGGGACATGACCGAGACTGCGACCAATACCAAAACAAGAACGGATCCGTACCGACTAAGCTGGCCAGCGAACGGTGAACATGCGGCTGAGATTGATCGAGCGTGCAATCCGGTTGTCTATGTTGTACTTTTCTCCGGCTTCGAACTCGCTGCGGCATTTGCGGCAAATGACTCAATCCAATCGCGCAAGTCCATCGGGACAACATGGGGACACTACCTGGCGGCAGTTGGAAACCTTGACCTCAAAAACTCAACATCTCTTGGAGGGCTGCCTTTCTTCAACAAACAATTTCTGGGCTGGCTTCCGCCTGCAACTCTGCCAGGGCTTTACTTCCGTCAACTTCCGCCACCCTTCCGCCGTTCTCCGTTCAGCGAACTCCATTCCTTGCCCTCGAAATCGAAACAACTTCTTGCCTTCTTCCCGCTTCCCTAACAAAACCGCCCCCGATTTAACTTCCACCCACTTCCGCTGGCATCCCGCCGCGTTCGACGGAGGAAGTCGCGGACCTCTGCTCCTTCCCGTCGATTTGTGGATGCCATGACAGTTGACATTCGAAAAGTCCTAACATTAAGTGAATCATGCTTGTAAAGTGTTCGATAAGGTGCCAAGAATCAGCTCTGGAAGTGTTGAACATGCTTGAAACATGTGCCGTCAAACGCGCTCAGTGATCCCAGGCGTGGGGCGCCCATTTAAGGCAGCTCCGATGGGGGAGTCCCATGGAGTATGGAGGAGTCCGATGGGGAAGTCCCATGGGGGGGTCTCCATGAGGGGATCCAGTGGGGGAGTCCTGTCATGGAGGAGTCCTATAGGGGAGTCCTATTAGGGAAGTCCTGTGGAAGAGTCCCATGAGGGAGTCCTACGGGGGAGTCCTATGAGAGACGGGTCTCTTTGGGCAGTCCGCAGGGGGAATCCTACGGGGGAGTCCTATACGGACATCCAATTGGGGAGGGGGCCAGGAGTGGGGACCCGCCCAGGCGCCCCACGCGGGGTGGGAGGTCCCAGATATGTCCGGGCAAGGTGTGTTTTTCTTCTACGGTTTTGTTCGATATCTTCTCGCCGGGCGACACCTGGGGAAACATATTCAACACAACTGTATCATATGATGCCTTGCTTTCCGAAAATGTCTCTTACAGAAAGAGAACCTTCGATGCGTGTAGAAAACATGCCTGCCATTATACCATGAATGTTGGCTGAGTAGTCTATGCTTTCGGGCCAAAATCAACGAACTAACATTCAAAAAGCACTTCGGACCATGTTTTTTATACATCCTATACCCATAGCACCCCGCAGATGCGGATAAGAGTGAAGAGGCGGTGGGAACGTCGGCTGTTTGCGAGACTCTGGAGAAGCCCGCCGCAGGCGCCAACGTTCCAAACATTACACAACGAGCCCACCGCAGGCGCCGATTTGTTCGTTAAACCAATGTGGGTAGGTCGCCGGTGGTTCGCGGGTGGGTCGCAAATGGGTCGCGGGTGGGCCACGGGTAGGTCGTTGTTGGGTCGCGGGTGTAGAGGACAGAACAACATCAACCCCATAATAATCACCCCGACAAGCGAAGCCGTTTAGCAAACGCACACAAGGAATGAATCGAACAGGGCAGGGCTGGTCAGCAAACGCCCAGTGCCGTTTAGTAAACGTCAATTATTGGGTCCAGGTGGTTTCTCCTCCCTTGAGGGTGGGTCGCGGGGTGGGTCGCGAATGGGTCGCGGGGTGGGTCGGGGGTGGGTCGCGGATGGGTTGCGGATGGGTCGCGGGGTGGGTCGCGGATGGGTCGCGGGGTGGGTCACGGGTGGGTCGCGGGGGGGTCGCGGGGGGGTCGCGGGGTGGGTCGCGGGGTGGGTCGCGGGGTGGGTCGCGGGGTGGGTCGCAGGGTGGGTTGCGGGTGGGTCGCGTGTGGGACGACGACAACAACAAACAACAACAACAACAACAACAACAACAATCATTTTACCCGAACGCTCAGTGTTCTCACCAGTGCCAGGGTTTTCATGCGACGCGAGACAATACCCCCACTTCGTGGGGGGGCAGTTCAAGCTCTACCAAATATCCAAACGACTCTTCGCGACCACCCAAACCCAGCTTCCCGCCCTATGACGTTGGGACACTTCACTTCGTGGCGTGCGGACGACCGTGGCTACTACACTGGCGTGGGGTACACACCCACAGAACTTGGTCACTTATTCGGGGCGCGCGTGTGCCCAGCATCCTGCAATTGTGACATACAATACATGACACAGACAGACAGAGAGAGAGACAGAGAGCAGACAGAGAGAGAGACAGAGAGAGCGGAGTTCTGGCCACTGGCAGGCGCGCGAACCCCGTTGCAAGAGCGTGCGAAAGTAGCTCGCGCGAGCTCATGTAACATAAATGTTGGAAAACCATTGGTTTTTTTAGGATTCGGACAGCGCGCGCGGGTGGAAATTTTGAAAAGTCGTGCAGGTGTTTTTCGAGGACCTACGGTGCGATTCGTGTGATTTTATGATGCGCGGTGCTAAAATTCTTAAAAACCCAATGGTTTTTGGAGATTTCGGCGTGCGCGCGCGAAGAAAAAACGAATGTGTCCCGCATGGTATTATTTGACAGGGATGATGGCCCTGGCAGGTGCGCAACCGTTGTCGCAGAAGTTCGAAAAAGTTGCTCGCAAAAGCCCGTTTGACAGAAATGTTTAAAAAGTGTTGGTTTTCCTACGAATCCGCAAGAGCGCGCGGATGACATTTTGACAATTTTTTCTTAAAAAACCATTGGGTTTTTGATGTTTTTATGTTAAAATCGCTACGAAACCTAAGGTTTTGGAAGGATTTCGTCTTGCGCGCACGAATGTCCACTTTACCTTATTTTTTGCAAGGGATTCTTGCAATTTGATCAAGTAAGAACAAGAATTTTCATTTTATAGTGTTTTTTGCAAGGGAAAACGGATTACAACAAAACAACCGGATCCGGACACAATCCACTTTTCTGAAGCTTTCGCTCGAAAATGAAGGAAATGAGGCTGCGGCCTAGGTTTTGGAGGGGGGTCGCGCACCAGGGGTCCCAACAATAATTATTCTTAAGAAGAAATAATGTTCATCCACAACAACACCAACAACAACAACAACAACAACAACAATCATTTTACCCGAACGCGTGGTGTTCTCCCCAGTGCCAGGGTTTTCATACGACACCAGGCAATACCCCCACTTCGTGGGGGGGCATTACAAGCTCTACCAAATATCCAAACGACTCTTCGCGACCACCCAAACCCAGCTTCCCGCCCTATGACGTTGGGACACTTCACTTCGTGGCGTGCGGACGACCGTGGCTACTACACTGGCGTGGGGTACACACCCACAGAACTTGGTCACTTATTCGGGGCGCGCATGTGCCCAGCATGGTGCAATTGTGCCATACAATACATAATACAGAGAGACAGAGAGAGAGACAGAGAGCAGACAGAGAGAGAGACAGAGAGAGCGGAGTTGGTCACATTTTTGGCGCGCGCGTGCGAAAGTAGCTCGCGCGAGCTCATGTAACATAAATGTTGGAAAACCATTGGTTGTTTTAGGATTCGGACAGCGCGCGCGGGTGGAAATTTTGAAAAGTCGTGCAGGTGTTTTTCGAGGACCTACGGTGCGATTCGTGTGATTTTATGATGCGCGGTGCTAAAATTCTTAAGAACCCAATGGTTTTTGGAGATTTCGGCGTGCGCGCGCGAAGAAAAAACGAATGTGTCCCGCATGGTATTATTTGACAGGGATGATGGCCCTGGCAGGTGCGCAACCGTTGTCGCAGAAGTTCGAAAAAGTTGCTCGCAAAAGCCCGTTTGACAGAAATGTTTAAAAAGTGTTGGGTTTCCTACGAATCCGCAAGAGCGCGCGGGATGAGATTTTGACATTTTTTTGTTGAAAAACCATTGGTTTTTTGATGTTTTTATGTTGAAATCGCTCCGAACACTAAGCTTTTGGAAGGATTTCGTCTTGCGCGCGCGAATGTCCACTTTACCTTATTTTTTGCAAGGGATTCTTGAAATTTGATTATATTAGAACAAGAAATGTCATTTTATAGTGTTTTTTGCAAGGGAAAGCGGGGGGGAACAAAACAACCGGATCTTGATCACATCGAATTACCTGAGGCTTCCTCACGAAAATGATGAAAATGTAGCTGCGGCCTAGGCGGCGCAGGGGGGCCGTGCACCAGGGGTCCCAACAATAATTATTCTTTAGAATTAATAATGTTCAACGCAATAAGCAGAATTCTCACCACAAATTCCCTATTCAGCCACGCACCCAGGGACAATGAATGACCGTTCGACCCCCTCACTCTGATACATATATATATGTGGAAATAAACTTATAAAATAAAGTTCGGCAACCCGCGGGGTTCCCCGGAAATGTCTGGGCTGGATGTTTTTGTTCGTTGTTTTTCCTTCTCTTCAAAATACATGTGTTTAGAGAGCCCGTGCGCCGGGGAGCCTCGCCGACGCGCGCCCCCAGGGCGCGCCCCCTCCAGGAAGCCAGTCTGGCGCTCCCCCCGCGGGCGTGCTCCCGCCGGTTTCCCTATCCCTGCCCCTCCCCTGGCCTCCTACCCTTCCCTCTCCTCCCATCCCCTCCTTCTCACCCTTCCCCTCTCGCGCCTCCTCCCCCCATCCCCCCAGGGGTCACCGTCGAAGTGCGTGGCCAGCCGGTGCAGGGGGATATGCAGCTCGCCACAGGCACGCCTCCTGGCCTGGCGGCGAGGCGGGGCGCGAACGGGGGCCCAGCGGGAGGCGTCGTCCCTGGGCTGCGCAGAACCGTGGTGCTCGTTTGCTGCTGTCCACACCTCGATTCTGTGCTGTTGTGCTGTTCGCCTTGGGGAAGCATGCGCGTTCCGCGGATGCTTCCATTGGCTGCCAATTCTCGAAGAGAGAACGGCACCTCACTCCTATCGCGCCTGAGGGGGTTAACTATGGCTCGTCACCCTGCGCCTGCTCACCCTGCTCCTCTCTCCATCTCCTCATCCTGCTCCTCAATCTCCTCATCCTGATCCTCTCCAACCCCTCCTCCTCCTCCTCACCCTGCCCTCTCTCCATCTCCTCATCTTCCTCGACCACCTGCTCATCCTCCCCTTTCTGGGCATCTACACCTGACCCCGACTGCTGCTATGATGCAGTTGTCATGTCTCCTTCATCTATTATCAGCTACGCATATATCATGCCCTCTCCCTTCGCCTCGTCCTCCTCTTTCTTCTTAAACGCAACATGCATTCTCCTCCTCCTCCTCCTCATCATCATCACGTCCTCCTCATTATTCCGAACCCTCCTGTATTGAGTTCCAGTTTTGAAGAAAGCAATACTAACGCGTCTCCTCCTCCTCCTATTCCCCGCTTCCCCCTCGAGCATCCTACGTCCAACCTGCGCTTGTGCTACCGCGGAAGACTGCGAATTGCGCAACTGCCGCCACTTTCGCAGTCACTTGCAAAAAAGGATGGCGGAGTGCATGGCCACGCAGATCCAGGCGAGACCTCACGGTCCTCTGCGGGGCTGCGAAATGCGCAACCGTCGCCACTTCTTTGGCTCCTGAGAGATACGGCGGAGAGCAGGGCCACGCAGATCCAGGCGAGACCTCACGGCTCCCTGCGGGGCTGCGAGCTGCGCAACTGTCGTTACGGCGGAATGCAGGGCCACGCAGGTCCAGGCGAGAGCTCTCGGCTCCTTGGGAGGATGCGATGTGCGCAACTGTCGCGACGTTCGTTGGTTCCTGCGGGGCACGGCGGAGTGCAGGGACACGCAGATCCAGGGGTGACCTCGCAGCTATCTGGGGGGCTGCGAATTGCGCAAGCGTAAGACCTATGGGCTCCTGGGAGGCACGGCGGGGTGCGGTGCACGCTTTGGGCCCCTCTTGGGGCATAGTGGGGGCCTGTTCGGATCGCTTTGGCAGGGGCGGACTTGGAGGCTTCCTGATCCGTTGTGGGATGTCGCCTTACATGAGAAGCGAGGGCCCTTACACCCATCAGGAGCCCAGAGGGAATCTACTACTGATGCAAGCCGGGACCCAATTGGGAGCTGTGAAGTTCCAAAGCGCTTCTGGGTTGGCCCTGGTTTTGAGGATGGCGAAGATAATGACGACACTGCCGAGCATGGCGCCGACGACGATAGCGGTATGGCAGTGGCGGCGGTAGTAGCCGAGTAGGGGTCGCAGTAGTAGTCATAGTAAAAGTAGAAGTCGTACGCATTTAAGCTGGCATCATGGGAGGTTCCTAATCCGACGCATTCCGAATCTGATACACTTACTCCGACGGTAAGGCACCCCATGAGAATCTGTTTAGATCGCCCTTAGCCTTTTCCTCGTCGCCCTGGCGGAGGCCATCCTCGCGCCCTCTGATGTGCTGTTCCTCCCTTTCTTCTTTTTATTGAATGTATTCCTCCTTCTCCTCCTCCTCTTTCTTATCGACCTTCTCCTCATCATTGCCCTCCGCCGGCCCATTCCCCCCCATCCGCCGTCTCCTCCCCTCTGCCTCTTCTCCATGTGCACCTCCCCTTTCCCCCCGGTCGGGGCATGCAAATCGGCGTTCCTCGGCGCCGTCGCCGCTTCGGCCGGCACGCGCGCGTTCGTCGACGGCTAGATCGTGAAACGTTTGGGACAATCCCGCGAACCGTGCCTTTGGGACAACCCCGCGGACCGTTGGGGCGCGGGGGCGGGCCGTCAGGACAAAACCGCGGGCCAAGCCGTTGGGGCAACCCCGCGGGCCTCAAAGTGGGCGTGGCCGCGCTCAGGCAGGGGGCAGCGCGAGGCCCATCCATGCTGCGAGCTGCTCCACAACTCCCCGCTATCTTTTTGGACTTCCGGATCGCCTTCCGCAGGGACGCTGGCGCCCCTCGTTCCAAAATCTTTCGCGTGGTCGGACGCAGGATCAGCATGTTCCGCACGCGCGAGGCACAAGAAAACGTGACGTAGAGGTGCAGCCACCACTGCTCGTCATCCATGCCCGTGCGACCAGCGCCCTCATCCCATGGTGACGCCATCCCCGCGTCTGGGGTCTGGGCTCATCCGAGCGAGTGGCCGTCTTAAGCTTAAGAGCGCAAAAGTGACCCCGCTCGGGTTGGCCCACGAGGCCTCGCATCACCCTTCGTTCCTGAGGAGCCCATCAATGATGACAGCTACAAGATCCCGAAGACTCGACCGGATTCTAACATGGAGCTGCGGGCCCCAAAGCGAGGGGGCTCCCAAACGAGACTGGCTGGGGGACCCAAAATTGGCGACAGGTCTAGGTTTTGCATGACCCACTTGGAATATCAGTATGCAGAGCGGGCCCCATATGGAAGGGGTTCCCGCCTGAGACTTCCTCGCAGTTCACTCACAAATGAGGCTCCCGCTTGTGGCTTCGTCAGAATTCAAGCGTGAGGGGCCCACTAAGGCTTCTTCGAAATTCAAGCACGAGGGCCCAAACATGACGTCAGTTACAGAATCTGGATGACCCGCTCCGGTTGCCCACATGCAGCGCGAGCTCCGTAAGAACGGGGCTCCCGCCTGACATTTCCTCGCAACTCCGCATCTCGCTCACGCATGAAACTCCCGCCTGAGGCTTCTTCAAAATTCACGCGCGATGGGCCCAACAGCGATGATAGTTTCAGGACCTGGATGACCCTGGCTCTTTAGGGAGAGCGTTCCTGCCTGAGACTTCCTCGTAATTCACCCGCACATGAGGCTCCCGCCTGAGGTTTCTTCAAAATTCAGGCGCGAGTGCCTAACATTGTCGACAATTACAATATATTGATGATCAGTTCTGCTTAATAACATGAAATGCTGGCCCCATACAAAGGGGGGGCGCCTGAGACTTCCTCGCAATCGCTCACATCGAGGCGCCCGCCTGAGGCTTCTTCAAAATTCAAGCGCGAGGGCCAACAACAATGACGAGAGATGCAGGATCTGGATGACCTGGGCTCCATAGGGAGGGGGCTCCCGCCTGATATTTTCTCGCGACTCACTCAAAAACGAAGCTCCCGCCTGAAGCTTCTTCGAAATTCAAACGCGAGGGGCCCAACCTTGACGACGGCTACAGGATCCGGGCGGCCTGCTACGATTGCCAACATGAAATGCGGGCTCCATAGGGAGGGGCTCCCGCCTGAAACTTCCTCGCAATTTACTCACAAACGAGACTCATTTTGGTCGAATGTCATGATAGGGCGGTGGTGCTGATGACGATGGTTGTGAGCGCTGCTGGCAACCGGTGGTCATGATGGAATCATGACATGATGACGACTGAATGGTGAATGAATGTGGGTGAATTGGAGAGTGAGTGGATGACGATGAGGTTTGATGGTGCTGATGGGGTGGTGGTGGTGGTGAAAGTGATGATGATGGTGAGTGTGATGATGGTTGATTGTGGTGAGGGTGGAGATGATGTGGGTAACGACAGGAGGAGTGGTGTGAAGAGGACTGGACGGGTGTGAGGACTGCGTGGGGTGTTTTGAGAAAACAAGAGCCGCACTCATGATGTAGGGACATGGCTACCCCAGCCACCACCATGCCCTGCACCCGACCAGGATGGTCGTGGTGAGAAGGTAGCCCCAGCAGTAGCGGAAGTAGTGGGGATGGAACTATCAGGAGTAACCGAGTCTGCAGACGCAATGTAATAGTATTGGTGGTGGTGGTAGCACCAGATGGTAGCAGGAGTGGGGCTTGTCGCAGTAGTAAAATTGGAACGTCGGGACACCCCATGATGATAAAGAGGAGACAAAGCATGAGCAACTGAGAAACGACCACCACCATCTCCATCGCCTCCTGACCCACACATAAACGGCGTTGGCCATGGACAGGGTAGTAACTATAGTGGTGGCAATGTATTTGGCCGTAACGGAGGTTGTGGTGCTGTGCGGTACCAACGACAGAAGTATAACAGAAGGGCGAGCGCCACCACCTGCACAACACCAGCACCTATTCTCTGGATTCGGCAGGGTGGTGGCTGTGGAGGGGTAGTGATGGCGACAAGGTGGCATTGCTAATAGTAGCAGTCGCAGCAGTAGTAGCAGAAGTAGTAGACAAGAAGGGGGGTACGTCCCATCTTCGCTATCGCTCCCTCTCTCTCCTTTCCCTGGCTCTCTCTCTCTCTCTCTTTCTCCCTCTCGCCCCCTTTCTCTTACTATTCCTCGTTATTTGGTGTTGCTTGCTGGCCGTAGGTATCTTTATATGGCGTTCGTGGGTCCCTCTCTCTCTCTCTCTTTCTCGCTCTATTTCTCTCTCTCTCTCTCTCTCGTTCCCCGTTTTTTTTATTTCGTTGGTGTTGGTTCTATCGTTCTCTCTCTCTCTCTCTCTCTCTTTCCCTCTCTCTCTTACCCTCTCCCGCTCTGTTTCACTCTCTATAGCTCTCACTCTGCCTCTCTCTCTCTCTCTCCCAAGAGAGCTCTGTTTGTAATCCGCACACCAGAGGTAAATCTGCAAATCGCTCAACAATGAATATGATTGTGAAGCCGCACGAAAGGATGTGATGTATAATCCGAGCGATAGAACTTAATAAGCAAATCCTCACAACGCGACTCCACTTGTAAAACCGCCCAAGAATATTCGATACGGCGAACCAATGTTTTAGGTCCCCCCCACCCCCCCGGCCAAGAAAACAAGGACGATCGACACATTGATGTTTTCTGGCTCATTTTCAACTTGAACCATTTTGTGGGGCAAATACATACTGAATCCTTCTGTGCAGATTACACATAGAATCCTTCTGTGGCTTTTACACTACGATGCATA